CTTCTTCTTCACGAAAAACACAGGACTGCCCCCCACTGCCTTGGATTCTCGGATGAATCCCCGCTTCAAATTGTGATCTATGAACTCCCTGAGTTCCTGCATCTCATCTTCAGACATGGAATACAGCTTCGCAGTCGGCAGCGTCGCCCCTGGTAGGAGGTCAATTGCACAGTCGTAGGGCCTGTGGGGTGGTAATTGGTCAGCTTCCTTTTCGCAGAAGACCTCCAAAAACCCCTTGTACTTGTGGGGCACCGCCTGCACCATGCCGAGATGCAACTGCTGCCCCTCCTCCTGGCCCTCCTCCTCCTGGCCGGTCTGGATGCAATGTTGTGCGCAGTAGGACGAGCCAAAGGTGAGCTGCCGCTGGTACCACGCTAATGATGGGCTGTGTCTATCCAGCCAACTCATGCCTAACACTATAGGCGTGTCTGACAGGCGGGTGACGTTGAAACTGATGACCTCGCGATGATTCCCGATCTGCAGCACCATGGGTGGCGACTGCTGTACCACTTGCCCGCCCAGCAACTTCCTGCCATCTACGGTGACGACGTTCAGAGGCAGCGTGGCTGGTAGAAGCGCTATGCGATGCTGCTTGATGAACTGCTTCCCCACGAAGTCTGCGTTGCTCCCTGAGTCAATTGTAATGGGGACTTCCAGGGTGAGTCCATTAGGTAGCTGGAGAGTAGCAGTGAGCTGTACCACTGGCTTGGGTGGTAAGGGATCTGTAGGCTGCAAAAGCGCTGGGGACTGCTTTACTGACTCGCCTGGCTGTGCCCCAGCATTCCTGCTTCCAGCCAGGCATTGTCGTTTCCCTGAAACTGCTCTCCCTGTAGCGCTGCTTCTGTTACTGTTGCTAAGGCTGCAGTGTGCTTCTGGAGCCTCTGGGGACACTCTTTAGCCATGTGCTGTGCACTGTCACAGATGTAACACTTCCTGGTCCCTCTAGGAGGCTTCGCCTTGACTGCTCCGGACGCTGAGGCTCCGGCAGCTGTCTGAGCCTTTGCACCACCCAGCTCCATTGGTTCCTCCCCCTCCCTCAGCATAGGCGAGGGATTCGTACGTCCCAGGTCCCTGGGAAGAAAAGGAGGCGCTCTAGCTGGTGTGCGGATGTGACGCCCCTCCTCACTGTGCCAAGGGCGTTCTTCGTGGCGCACCCCTATCGTGAGTGCCCTCTGCACGACGTCTGCTAGGGTTTGAGGTCTGTCCCCCCTGGCCAACTCATCTTTTACGGAGCCATGAAGCCCCTCCCAGAACAAGTCTCTCACTGCCAGGGAGTCCTTTTCCCAGCCCAGCACATTCAGCAATGCAAAAAAGCGAGAATGGTACTGACGCACTGTAGCCTTGCCCTGCCGCAATCCATGCATCTCCTGGCGCGCCACATCAACGTCAACGGTAGATTGGAAGCAAGCGTCCATGGCTTTGATAAATTCGTCAGAGTCCCTGCGGGCAAGACCATCTTCGCGCCACAAATTGCGTAACCAGGTTCTAGCTTCCCCATGCAAATGGGACACAATAAAGCCTACTTTCTCCTCCTCATCTTTGAAGTCTTTCCGAAGCAAATGCAGCGCGTATACGACGTCTGCTCTGAAATTGGGATAATGCTTCAGGTTCCCATCGAAGTGGGCTACTAAATTGCGCCCCCTCCGTCCGAGTCCGATTCCCTCTGATCTGGACCCCGGGAACCCCTCTTTGCACGCATGATCCCACCTGGCTTGCAGATCCTGGCATCGCGCTTCTGCTTCGGCAACTGTCTTCTGAGAGACCACTACCGCAGTGGAGAGCTCGGCGACTGCGTTTTGCAGGGACGCTATCTGCTCCTCAGTAGTCATGTCTGCCAAACTTCGTGAGCTTTGCAAAAAAAAAAAAAAATTTGCGGTTTCTGTGGAGAGGGGACTTACTGTCAAGGCTGCCTCAGGTCTCAGCTCACAAAAGACCAACGCCAATCTCTTCTTATATACAAAAGTGTTTATTGCAGTTCATTGTTTGCTTCATATCCGAGGCGCGCAGCCCCACGTCTGTACGCTTAGACCGTTGAAGTCCCCTCTGAGTCAGTCCCTCCCCTGCACCAGTTTAAGAGCCTTGCGCTGCTCCACCTCTTTCTCTCTTTCCTTTTCCTCAGGGTCTTCCTGCCCGCTGGGGTTTCGCCCCTCCTGGATTCCCCTGACGCGCTATCCCCCGACTGCTCTTCCCCCTCCTGCGGGCTTTAGGACCTGGCCCTTCCTCCGGGCTCCCTGTACTTCCGCGCGCCTCTACATTTGAACTTGCGCGCGCGCCCAACCTCTAACTTTCCTTTTGACAGTTACACTACTCCTTCACTACTCCCTCCCCTTCCGGGAGGGTGGCTTGCTCCGACCTCCCTCCCTTCTCTGCTGCCGGAGCTGCTTCCCCTGATACACTGGAACCTCCACCCCCTTCGCTGCACTCTGGCGGGGAGGCTGGTCCTGACGCCCAGCTGCCACTTTGGGATCCCCGCTGGCCCCCTGTTCCTGACACGTCCCCCCTGGGGCTCCCCTGGCCTTGACCACTGGCGCCCCCTTCTGGGAATCCTCTGATTCGCTGGAAAGACTCATGGAATCTCTTGAGTCATTGTCATCCTCTTCCTCGCTGTCCTGGGATTCATCCCCATCGCTCTCCATCTCCTCCCTACCCTGTGCCTCTGTCCCTGAACCCCTGACACTTACATACAGCTGTGTTCCATTTTCTATGTTTGCCTTTATTAGTACTTTGTCATTTGTGTTCATAAATACTTCTGCATCCAGTGGAGACTGGACTACATAGCTGGGGATGTGAGTATGAGTGCAGATTCCCTCCTTTCCATTCTAAAATAGTCCTTTATTTATTAGTCAGTGTATGACTAAAGGAAGTCAAACATAGATTTCATTAAATAGAAGTAAACGAAACAGAATCATTAAAATGTGGTATTTTGGGCTGCATCAGATCATTTAGAAACATGAGCTGGACTTGACAAACGCTTTCCTTTTAAGAACTTTAAATCACAGTGAAAAATCTTTTGTTTTCCTTTACTGGACAGATGAGCACAGTGGCATTCTCGGAAAGAAAGAATATGGCGCTCTAAATTTAAATAAGGCACATGGCACCCACTTTACCACTGCTAATAATAATCTTGTTGAGTCACACAAAAATAATGTCAGACAGTAGCAAGCTGTTCAGCGAGTCCTCCAAAATTCTTCCCAGATGCTTTGTTCATTAAGCACGAGATACCTTAAGACCTGGAAATATGCAGCACTGTAAATAATACCAAGTTGCTATGTCTAGGGTGACAGATGTTTGGTTTATATTTGGGTGTTTGTCTGCCACTCACAAGCAAATAATTCTGGAAATGGAATTAGTCAGAAATTGAATTAGTGGAGTGGGTTCGGGTTCTTTTTTCCAGTAGTGCTACAAAGGGCCAAACTGTATTTGAAGCATGAGATCGGAGTTCAGGGTCAAACAAGGGTGTTGTTTTCAGTTACAGTGGTACCTCGGGTTAAGAACTTAATTCGTTCTGGAGGTCCGTTCTTAACCTGAAACTGTTCTTAACCTGAATCACCACTTTAGCTAATGGGGCCTCCTGCTGCTGCCGTGCCGCCGGAGCACAATTTCTGTTCTCATCCTGAAGCAAAGTTCTTAACCCGAGGTACTATTTCAGGGTTAGCGGAGTCTGTAACCTGAAGTGTCTGTAACCTGAGGTACCACTGTACTAGCAAATATCTATCTCCTCCAAACCAGGCATGCAGCAGTCAGTGAAAATAACTTTTATTTTCTTTGTTATTAAGAGACATCAGAAACAATATGGCGGAAGTTCTGCTCAAGTGAGGAACAAATGCATTGCAGGGGGTTGGACAAGATGACCTCTGGGGTCCCTTCCAACTCTACAATTCTAAGAAATGAAAGTAAGGGTTTGACAACAGTAGCCACCCACTGAAAACACATGTCAGCAGCAGGTGGGGCAGAGGCAAAAATGGCTGGAGGCATGAATGTGCATTTTAACTTTGTATTGTAAACTAGCAGAGACCATGTAACACCGATCCTGAAATACTTACATTGGCTCCCAGTACGTTTCCAAGCACAATTCAAAGTGTTCGGTGCTGACCTTTAAAGCCCTAAACCAGGCATAGGCAAACTCAGCCCTCTAGATGTTTTGGGACTACAACTCCCATCATCCCTAGCTAACAGGACCAGTGATGATGGGGTCAGGGATGATGGGAATTGTAGTCCCAAAACATCTGGAGGGCCAAGTTTGCCTATGCCTGCCCTAAACGGCCTCGGCCCAGTGTACCTGAAGGAGTGTCTCTAATCCCATCTTTCAGCCTGGACACTGAGGTCCACCTCTGTGAGAAGTGAGGTTACCGGGAACCAGGCAGAGGGCCTTCTCGGTGGTGGTGCCCGCCCTGTGGAACGCCCTTCCATCAGATGTCAAGGAAATAAACAAGAATCTTTCAGAAGGCATCTGAAGGCAGCCCTATTTAGGGAAGTTTTTAATGTTATCAAACATCGGGAGATGCCCAGAGTGGCCAGGGAAACCCAGCCAGATGGGCGGGGTGTGAATATAAATTATTATTATTACTATTATTACACACCCCTCTATGCACCATCCAGGGTTTTAAAAATTCAACAACACATTCCAGACAGGAAAAAGAACTCAGTGGTATGTCTAAGGAGTGTCTCGAGGGCCTGCTAGAGAGGCTTAGAGGGCCACATTTGGACCATGAGCCTGAGCTTCCCTTCTCTTGATAGAGCGGGACAGTGATCCAAAGCTCCATATCAAACCTCCCACTAGCTAGTTTCCTTCGGCCTTTGCCAACTGTAGGAGAGCCTTGCTTTGGGATCCTTTGTTCCCTTCACTGGATTGCCTGGCTAAAATATAATACAGCAATAAGCAAGTGCAATAAACACCAATCCATTTCTGGCATCAGCTTTCGGGTTACGAAACCATTTGGACCACACTTAAAAGATGCTTCCTCTTAAAACATTTCATGCAGCAATAAAACAAAACTGGTATGTAAGCGCTTCAAATATTTATTTCCATGGCAAAAATAGACTATGATATAATTCATTTCACATATATTACATATCAAAGAAAAACAAGCCTTTTTGTCTATCAAATACAATTTGTACATTGTTTTACAAACCCCATTTCAATTGTACAAGGTTTAAAGCTGAAGAAATTTTACATTTTTTACAGTACTGATTGAGAGAGACACAAAGCAGAGCAAACTTAAAAAAAAAAACCTTTAGCTCGATGCTAGAAAAATAATACTTGAGTAGGAGACATGTGCTACTGTTAAAGGAAAGAAATTTATAAATCCCTGTATACTGGCACAAAAAAACAAGAAGTGGAAACAAAGCCCAAAATCCAGCATCTTTCACTCACATACAATTATATCTGAACACCCAATTAAGGCCAATGAGATGTTGAAGTCTCCCAATCTCAGGCAACCTTGCAAGGTCAACCCCGCTCCCCGACAAGCTTCTAGCCCTAGACAGAGTCACACATTTCCAGAATGGCATGGGAACTGCTTCTATGTGGTCCAGTCTCACGTCTCCCCACTATGGTGGAATCGTGCAGATCAGGAGTGCCTTTAATGATGCTGGTAGACTGAAACTCCCATCATCCTTGACCAATGGCTATGTTAGCTGGAAATGTTGCGAGCTGAGAGTCCAGCAACATGGAAGGATCATGCACAAGACATGGTTCCTTCCCACAGCAAGCACAATACTGGTGTGGGAACAAACAACATCATTTGCCTTACCCATGCAGCCCCTACATAGAAACATGACAAGAGCAGCTGAAAATTGGATATATTTTTTTTTGGGGGGGGAGGGCAATTCCACAGTAGGAGCAAATGAACACAGACTCACATCCTACCTAGATTAAGCCAGCAGCAAAGTTAAGTTTTGGGTCGAAGAGCCGTTCAAGAAAAGGAACCTCACATACCTGTTTTGACAAAAGTTATCTTACCTTTAGTAAGAAAATGCCTTAGATCACCTGACTGGTCATTTTCCTTCCAGAATCTTCCTTAAGGTTCCGTTTAGATTGTTTCAAACACCCTCGACGCATATTGGGACATTCCAGTGAAATAAGATGGCATGCAACTTCCCTTTATTCATTTAGAAGATTTTCTTTTCAAGCCGTTTCAAGAGGGAGTTTAGCGTGACTAAAGCAGCTGCAGATCTCTATCTCTCTCACACACAAACCAGTTTTCTATGTCTTGCTTAATCTGTAGTAACTGGGTCAAACACTACCTCATTTAGCACCACAGGTCTTTTTGGGGGTGGGAAATTGTGGCACATTCTTCACTTCACAAGACAGCATCATGTCAACGTACGTTTTGGCTACACATACCAAAACAAACAAACAAACAAACAAACCACTTTGATTCAAGTTCACTGATTTAGCATTTTTGAGATACGCAATGCAGCTTCAAGGAAATCAGAATAATTGAAAAGGCCAGTTCAGGATAAGTGAGGAAGAAACAACCCCCCTTGTCCTTTCGCAGCAAGAATGCTCTTTGCTCTTGCCGGAGTTCGAAAACATTCACCATTACAGCTTGCATTTCTGCCCATCCCAAAACGTTTGACTGTACAGAGACAGAGGAAAACCAAGGAAACTGAAGTAAGAGACACACTTGGACAACTCCCTTTCCCATCCCAAAGTCTTGTACATATTCAAACTCCCCACCCCTACCTTGCACCTCCTATTTTTCCATCCCAAACCACTTCTGAAGTTTCCTCAGTTTTCAAAAGCAACTTGCCACGCAATCTAAGCAAAGGTTTGCAGGGCAATAGGCTTGCTGCAGGGAGAGACTTGAGCCTCCATTGGTAAGAGACTAGAGTTCTGTGATTCTCTGTGTTGTGCTTAGCGCAGACAGTGCAATATTGCACCATAAGGTGTTTCTGAACTGCACATATCAGAGGGCATGCTTAGTTACGCAGCCAAAGCAGGGCCCTCCCTTCCTCCTTGTGCTGTGCAAGTAAGGCAACTAGATGAACAGAGTCTCAGCCCCATTATACAGAAACTATTGCGCCAAACCACATCTCCAGGGAACATCCGATACAACCAAGAGAGGAAACTCAATCAGAAAATTAAAAGCAAAATATTAAAATATTTATAGTGAGATTGATGGCTCTCCAGATGGTGCCGGACTACAGTTCCCAACAGCACAAGCTGTCTGGCCAATGGGCAGAGACTTTGGGAGCTGTAGTTCAACATTTGGAGGGCCCTTGGTTATCCAGCCCTGCTCTATGGTCTCTTGACTTCACGTAAGAAGACAGCCCTTCTGACTGCCATATTGTGCATTCAGAACAGTTCCAAACCCCTCTGTGCTGCTTTCCCTGCCTAAACTCATCCCACCTTTCAATGTTGACATATGGGACCCGGCTTGAGGGAAAGCTCTCTTGAAAAAAATGCTACATTTCCAGAATCTATGAATAAAACGCTGAGTCAAGGAATTCAGCCCAAATGCCACAAACTCAAAACTTGCAGAAACTGCCGTTGGTGGTCAACAGCTAAAGGCTGGCAGCAAAACTGGCTCATCCAGACTGACTTCAAACAGAGAAATGACCAACATAACTGAGTCTACACAGTGTAAATTAGCATCAGTGATATCGAAAGCAGCCAAAGTTTTCAGCCCAATGCTCTCAGGGCAGCTCTAAAACATGACACGAGACCTAATGAGATTCTTCAAGGTTTGCCATAAACCTCTTTGGACAGTAGTTTAACCTCATCTCACTGGGGGTTGTACACAGCAAGGACAGGCGCAGTCAAAATTCAAGAGAAGAAAAATAATACCTAGAGACATGTACCTCACACATGGATCAATTTAATTCCTGACTAAAGAGCTCACCACAATCCCAAAAGCACAGCCAGAGGTGCTTTGAAACAGCTTATTTACTTAATAAAATAAGTTTACGGTGTAAGTGCCTGTAGAGAGAATGAGCACCTCTCCATTTTAAGCAATTATGGGAAACCTGTTACTTTTGTATGCCTTCCATAGCCATCCAGTTAGAACATTTGCCGTTTCTGGTTCTGCAAGTGATTGTAGACCCATCAAAAGGCATACTCCTTCCTTCCTATCTCCTTTCAACCTCACTGAAGGGCTGTGACCCAGGAAAGGAAAGGAAACAGGCTGCCATAGCATAGACTATGAACCTAAGATACTTTTTGATTTCCTTGACAGGGGGACATAAAACTAGAAGGGTTAATACTGCAGCCTCTCTGCTGAAGCATGTAAACCAGTAACCCACTCTCACATACACGTTCCTCTCACTCACTGACTCCATCTTTAAAAACTTTTTCTAAAACAAAAAGTAAAAACGACTTAGTAATGGGCATGTTAACCACTTAAAACATACTAGTATGTTTCCCTAGATAAATAAGAGCCAAGAGAGTGCTTCAATTTCACCTGCATCCACCTTGATTTCAACCAGTAGTAGCAACCAGTTTTCAATACATATATTTTTAAAAGAATAATACTGAGGATATACTTCATTAATTTTGGAGCTTCTGGGAGCTACATAGCATAAAAAGGCAGTGCCTTTTTTCCCCTTTTGGCCTAGAACTGTAAGCAAAAAGCATTCTCCTTTTCTTAGCTTTAAAAAGAAAAGAAAAAGTGCCAGCTGTAACCATTCCTCCTTACTTCTTCGTTTTTTAAACCTAGCATTCTTTCAAAACAGACACTGTTCTTGCTCATTTTATGACACTTCAAACTGTACGTGTCATTGTCACTTCCCATTTCTTCCCACTTCCCTCTGCACATTATAAACCAGCGGACTCAAACCCCTTCTTTTCCCCTTACATATTATATACTCTGAAATATTGCGCTATTGGGAGTTTTTAGAATAATACAAAAGAAAAAATTAAGTACAAAAAAGTAACTGCTTTAAGTGCCATCTTCTTGCAAATGCTGGTTCCAATATGAAATCTGTACATTTCATGAGCGTCTTAAAGTATATATATATATATATATATATATATATATATATTAGCACTGATTTAAATACAAAATTCAAAGCACAGTGATGCAGTTTTGTAACTTCAGGGTGGTAGCCAATGTAGTCATACCCAGAGAAAACTCACAGAAATAACAGACTGATTTCAATGGGTCTGTTCTGAGTATACATAGCTTACTGCTCTCAGTTTGCAGGGCACATGTATTTCCCACATGATGTATCTAAACATATACATGAATATAGTTTCAGGGTTTTTCCTCTCTTCATTCTAAAAGCGGGCTTTAAAAAAAAGAATTAAAAATCATCCATCCTTGGTTTTCAAAATGGTGATGTCTTGGTAGGATCCACACTTATTTTGCCTACAGTCACACAGTGTCAGAAGTACACAAAAAGCACTGCATATCAGCACATTATTTAAACACACACACACACACACACACACACACACACACACTCTCATTCCTTTCTTGTTCCAACTGCACACGAAGAAGAAAATCCATCCACCCCAAAGTCTTGCTCTGCAGAAACCAGCGAAGTCACTGGACTTGCACTCAGCATCTTCAAACCAAGCCAGAAAGGTTGCCCCGGCGGAAGGCAAAACTGCTTTTGTAAACTCTTGCAAACAGCGAGACTTAGGAAACGGAGTAAGGAAGGTTTATATAAGCCTCGAACTCTTAAGGAATTGGATGAGGACTCCGTAGACAAACGTGTATTGGCACAAGGTCTGCACCATCATCATCCTTTGCTGTCTTAACATATCCAGCATTCTTGGGATGTCCAGTGGCTGCAAAAGAAAGATCAGAATGGAGAATCACCATGCCTGCAAGTCTATAGGTTTCTGCCCCAGACAGACAGACAGGCACATTTACAGACTTTAGCATGGGGATCAGTTAACCTAAGGAAGTGAATGGAAGGAAAGATTCATGTCCCCTTCTTGCCCTTGCTGTATGCTCCAAAATGCCTTTCTGGAGGCCCAGAGGGGAATGGTATGACAGGGAATTGCCCATAGAGTGGTACCCTAAGACATGTTAAAGAGATGCTTCTCATCTCTTCTTCCTACCGGCATTTCCCTCAACCCAGGATTTTTTTGGGGGGAGGGAGGTGTCACAGGTGGAGAGGAGAGGACAGGAAACCGTCCTTCCAATGCTATGAACTGCCCTGAGATCTACAGATGAAGGGCGGTATACAAATTTAATTAAATAATATTCTCAGAAGAAATTAGTTTCAATGAGTTTTGTTGTGCAGCACTATGCATATTGTGTACATAGACTGTAAATAATAGAAGGTGGTGAAAAGTATGCTTTGAAACCTTTGGCATAAAGTTAGTCATTCCCAGATTGCTAGAACTGGGATGAGTTTCATTAATGCTCCTTGTCTTTGATCCCTGCCAGATCACGCTCTGTTAAAGCTCCCATCTCCAAGAATGCAAAATTTGGTGAAGCAATTGGTAGGCTTTGTTACTTCGCGGCAGGACAGGGATGATGAACAGGAAAAAATTGTGTGTATAAATATGACATCTTGTGGCAACTACCAACACTACAGCAGCTTTAAGGGTTCACCAGCAACCCCTAGTGCTGTTCCTTGACATCACCACATGGGAGGGGAATTGGCTACCCCCACCCCTGCTCTGTGGACCCCCCCAATCAAACTCCCCAACACACGCGCCAGAGTGTGGACCCACCCCAACAAACTCCCCAACACACGCGCCAGAGTTTTAAAAGGCCAAGAAATAACCTCATTGTGCTCCAAGCAGGCAATCATGATCTCCGACAAGATGACTACGCCAGTTCTCCCAACGCCAGCACTGCAATGCACCAGCAGGGGAGGGTTGGGGGCTGTGGGGTCCGCAGTGCTGTTTGTATGGCGCCGGACTGACTGTATCTCTTCCAAGTATGCTGTCAGATCCAACAGAAAAGAAGAAAGAAGAGAGAAATTATTTAAACTAGGCAACAACGCAACCAAGTACAGAAAGTGGCAGCCAAGTAAGTCAGGGTAGCAGACAGGGCAAATGAGACACGTCCACTCAGAATGCAATGCCATTCCTTAAAGATGCTTATAAGCTACCAGACCCAACTCCACATGCTGCTAATGGATTATAAAGCCCCAAATGGCTCAAGGCCCAAGTATCTGCGGCAGCACCTCAACTCCAATACCAACCAACTCAATTAATCCTTAAGATCGGGAGATGGTGGGGAGGCCTTACTTCCAGTCCCCGTGAGGATTTGTAGTCGGGAAGCTCACAGGAAGGGCTGTCTCCATGGTGAGAAGAAGAAGAGTTTGAATTTGATATCCTGCTTTATCAGTACCCGAAGGAGTCTCAAAGCGGCTAACAATCTCCTTTTCCTTCCTCCCCCACAACAAACACTCTGTGAGGTGAGTGGGGCTGAGAGACTTCAGAGAAGTGTGACTGATCCAAGGTCACCCAGCAGCTGCATGCGGAGGAGCGGGGAATTGAACCCAGTTCACCAGATGATAAATCCCCTGCTCTTAACCACTATACCATACTGGCTCTGGTTTGTTTGTGAGGTTATGACTCTGGTTTGTTCTCCCCATGGAGTGGCATCTGATCTGCTGCCACCCCCCAAAAATTATTTCTATCCCTTCCTTCTTCAAAAGAGCTCATGGCAGAACACAGGAGCATTCCCAGGTTGTGCCCTGGCCAGCATTTGGCCCTTTCAGGACGCTTGCCTTATTATGTGCTTTTCAAGACCATGCCCAGATCACACCAAAACTTGAGCAAAAGCGGGCAAAGCAAAAACAGTGCAAATTCTTTACTTGGCAGATGGGAGCAGGGTACTTCTAGCCACAAAAGATATTTCCATAACATCTCTTGACACCTAGTTCCCAAGAAAGGATTCATTTACCACAACAAAAGACAAGAAAACCCGTCGGAAACACTTACAAAGAAACCCTTTTACGTCCTCTGGGCAGCCGTGCTCCGGCCAGTCTGTGTACTGAAGGTGCCAAACTGTTCTCTCTTGCCCCGTGAGGAGGTGCTTGATCTTCAGGCCTGTCGTGGCGTAACAGCCAGAGTCCGTTCGGAATCGGGTGGTGATCTTGAATCTCCCGTACGTCACCGTGTTGTGCCTCGAGCCAAGCCGCGGCCAGTATCGGAAGCTTTTCTCTCGGCATCCCTCCTGGAAACATTAAGCTTCGTCAACAGAAAGCTCCCATGTGCCCTTCCACAGAAACATTGTTGTTTCAAAAAGGACTTGTGGTTTATTATTTTCGAAATTTAGATCCCGCCTCTTCCTCCCCCTTCATTCCAACCTCACAACGATCCTGTGAGGTAACGTATTGGCCCGAATATAAGCCACACTTTCTTTCCAAATTCTGACAGTGAAAAGTTAGAGTGTGGCTTGTATTCGCGACCTTACCAAAAAATTGCTTTTGCAATATCGCTGCTGAAACAGACATACGGTAAAGCAGAATAAAAAAATGTTTTACAGTCATACCTCAGGATAAATACGCTTCAGGACAAGTATTTTTGGGTTGCGTCGCTTGCGCAGACAGTCAAAATGACGTCACGTGCATGTGCGGAAGCGGCGAAACGCGACCCACACATGCGCAGACGCGTCTTACGTTCTATTCAGGATGCAAACGGGGCTCCGGGACGGATCCCATTCGCATCCTGAGGTACCACTGTATTGCCAATTTGCGAGCTTGAGTGCCTGCGGAATTGTAGCAATTGAATAGCAATTTGCAATTTTAGCAATTGCACGGTAACACTTGTGGGTTTGCAAGATCAAAGGCTTAAATTGGTTTGGAGTTACAATTCTACCAACCGCAGCGATTTTCAGCCTGTAACCCAATTTTAAGAGAACGGCTTATATTCCGGTATTGTCTTTTTCTTTCCTTTCCCCCCCTTAAATTTTAAAGGTGCAGCTTACTTGTGGGTGCGGCTTATATTCAGGCTAATACGGTATGCTGGGGCTGTTAAAGAGGGGCATGTCCCAAAGTCACCCAGGGAGTGAAGATTTGAAGCTAGATTTCCCTGCTAGCCACTAAACTACATGGGCCCTTCTACACTGCCCTGTCAGACCTGGTCAGTCAAAATTAGACTGGAAGGAAAGGGCCATACCTCAGAGGCAGTGGGTCTGCTCTGCATGGAGAATGGCCCAGCTTCAAACCCTGGCTTCCCCAAGTACAGCTAAGACTATCAGTGGCTATTGGCCATGATGGCTGTGCTCTGCCATGTTTCTGAATACCAGTTTCTGGAAACCACAGGAGGGTAGTGTGCTCTAAGGCTCAAATCCCTCTTGCAGGTTTCCCACAGGCAACTGTTTGGCCACTGTGAGAACGGGATGCTCAACTAGATGGGCCATTGGCCTGATCCAGCAGGCTCTTCTTATGTTCTTAACTGGGAGAAAACTCTGGAGAACTGTGGTCAGTCAGTGTGGACAATACTGAGAAAGTTGGACCATTGGTCCGCCTTGGTATAAGTTAGCCTCCCATGTTCCTTTGGTTGGTACATGTTGTAATATGAGTACTCAGCAGCTGCGAACAAGCAGTTCGATGTTTACATCACATGATGGGTCTGAGCGTGAGACAGGAAGTTCCAAGATGTTCTCAGAGTTGTGTTCTCAGTGTAATATGAAACCTTCCTGTTGTTCCTGTACAGGAGGAGTTAGTCAGTTGCTCGGAGGTTTCTGAGAGAGAAGTCATGCTTTGTACAGTGTACAGTCCAGGAATAAAAGTAGAATGAAATAGACTACTTTTTCAGACTGTTTTCTTTCTCCTGCTGCCATGCAAGGGGGAAGGGAGTGTGCACCTCTCCGGAGGGAGGTGTCACTTATTCAAGACCTCCCTGGTCTGTCTGGAAACCAGCCAGGGTAGATCATTGGCAACAGGCCCCGAGTGCCTGGGAAGAGGAGCCAGCCTTTCCCGAGGGGGCCAGTTTCCAACAGTACATTCATACATAACCAAGTCGCTTCATGTTTATTATGCTCTTGCACAGAGGAAGGTCGTTCAGAGTCAGGGCTATGAAGACAGCAGTTTCCAAGCTTCTTCCCTCCCCAGAAGTGTCGCAAGTACCCACCTCTTCTGCAGTCACCATGGCTATAATGGCAACCCCTTGCTCCCACACCATCTGCCAGAAATCTTGGCATGTATTCTGCAAAGGACCTTGGGTAGCAATATAATCCCATTCCATGCCCCCAACGCAGACCTAAGAAAAAGAAATAGAAAAAATGATGCAGGGAATTGTAAGACTTGAAAGAAAACAGCAGCAACAGGTCTGGAAACCAGGCCTTATGAGGAACGGTTGAAGGAGCTGGGTATGTTTAGCCTGGAAACGTGGAGACTGAGAGGAGATAGGATAGCCATCTTCACATATCTCAAGGGCTGTCACATGGAACAGCCATATTCTGTGAATCGCCCTGAGACCTCTGGGTATAGGGAGGTATATAAATTCAATTCAATTCAATTCAATAAAATAAAATAATGGAAGATGGAGCAAGCTTGTTTTCTCCTGCTCCAGGGGTAGAACTCAAATCATTATCTTCAAGTTACAAGAAAGGAGATTCTGACTAAACGTCAGGAATAACTTTCTGACAGTGGAATGGACTCCCTCAGGAGGTGGTGGACTCTCCTTCCTTGGAGGTTTTTAAGCAGAGGTTGGATAGCCATCTGTCATGGATGTTTTTGCTGAGATTCTTCCATTGCAGGCGGTTGGATTAGATGACCCTTGGGTACCTTTCCAACTCTAAAATTCTATGGTTTTGGGAAATACCCAGTGTTTGCCATACTCAGAGCAGACCCACTAAAATCAACAGACCTAAGTAACTTAAGCTATTAATTTCACTGGATTTGTCAGAGCATGGTAAACATTAGATATCACCCTCTGATTTAAAAATGGAGAGGTAGAAGTCAGTAAGCACAGATCAAGCTGTATACCTTTGGTTCCTGCCATATTATTTCCTCTCTTCACATTTAATCCCCAAAATAGACAATTCATACCACCCCAGCGTATCATAATGATGAGAAGAGAACACAGGTAAGGGCCTCTTCCTTGACTGTTGTCACCTTCACGGCAACTAGAAAGCTCAAAATATGCTTGGCAGAGCCATAACCCTCAGGCAGTATCATAATACGCCTCAGATCACTTCAGAGTGAAGGAAGGTTGTCTGATAAGAAGGCCCAGCTCAAGACATTTTGCTGCCTGAGGCAAAACAGCAAAAGGTGCCCCCAAGTCAAAGAGAATTGTATGCAAGGCCGGCCTAGGTTTTGTTTCTGGCACCCAAGACAAAAAAAATCCACAACTGCCCCTCTCTGCCAGTGAAAAATAGAAAAATAGTAAATCAGATAACTAAAAATTGTTACCCTTTCAGGATACCTCAAATCAGCTTCCTGAGGCAGCTGCCTCAGTCTGCTTTATGGTAGGGCCCAGGCCTGTGATGAATTCATAATATGGGCCTGCACTGAGTTAGTTCAATGACAGAGATTCTGAAAAGATCAACTTCCAAGATAATCCCTACTGAGAATAAGCAAAAGGCTCTAAGCTAAAACCTACTTTTTGATAGATACGCTCTGAGGTAGGATAAGTCAAAAGGATCAGAAAATGCAAAGAATGTAGGCTCTTTTTTCTGGCTAGCCTTACAGAAAATAAATGATGGCAAGTGGCATGTTGGATGTACAGCAGATGTTTTATCAGTTCCTTTTGTCCACTAAGAAAAGTAACATTCTCCGGTGCTCCTGCTCCTCTGCACCATCCCTAACGCCATCCAGTTAAATAAGCCTGTGGCATGCTTTGACTTTTAATTTTTAAAAAGCGTTGCACAAGAAAGATCACAGATAGGTGAAATAAATCATTCTGGAAAACATTCCCATTACTTCTTGAGCTCACCTTAATGTGGGATGCATTGATATAACCCGTATTGTTTTCTTTAGTAGGGACCAGCTCTACTCGGGTGTCGTCATAAGGAAGCACATCCTGAAACCTGTTCCTTTCTGCGTTTTCTGGAAGGCGGGCAATTGAACAGTCCCCATCCAGAAGCCTTTTCTTCTGGATCCGCTCATATTCTGTAAACACCATCCCTTGTTCCAACCCTTGTTCCAGACCTTTACACTAGAAAGAAAGAACACGTTTTATTGTTTTTCAGCAGATGTCTGCCTCTGTGTGCGTGCTCTATTTTTTAACCCCCCCCCCAAAAAAACCTTTTAAGTTGCCTTTATATGGTGTGCTCTCAAGTAGGCTTATAGAATTTTAAAAACCACACAAACACACACACACAAAAAATTGATTAAAAAGCTGCTGGTTGTAATAAAACTATTATTGTTGTTTATAGCTTGCCTGTTTTCTTGACATGACTCAAGGCAACTTACAGATAAAAACAAGAACCGCAAAGAACATAGAAAAAGAATATTAAAAAGCAGATAAACATTACAGTAGTACCTCAGGTTACATATGCTTCAGGTTACATACGCTTCAGGTTACAGACTCCGCTAACCCAGAAATAGTGCTTCAGGTTAAGAACTTTGCTTCAGGATGAGAACAGAAATCGTGCTCCGGCGGCGCGGCAGCAGCAGGAGGCCCCATTTGCTAAAATGGTGCTTCAGGTTAAGAACAGTTTTAGGTTAATTACGGACCTCCGGAATGAATTAAGTACTTAACCTGAGGTACCAACGTAATAGATTTAAAACTATATACATGCATAAAATCTGTTTAAAACAACCATCCAGCTCATTAATACTAAGATCCAAAACACAAACGCAACTTAAGGTTTCTGCTTCATAAGGACCCCCATGGCCATTCTCTACACATCTGCGGAATACAATATCTCAAAACCACAGAGCTGGACCAAGAAGGTGTACAAAACCAGCGGCAATAAAAAGGACCTGACACTTTTATTCCAAACTTGGTGAAGAAATAAAACCAAATCCTGATGCCTTTACTTGGATAAAACTTCTGCTTGGCGCAACCAGGATTCTGCAACTACGGGAACTGAATATGAAACCTTTTTAACATACAGCTCAAAGAAAACATCAAACCAACCCGTTCATCGTTTGTTGCTCTGGCAGGTTCCTCCTTCCCTTCGTCTGGCAGCGGCAGCCGAGATAACGTCAGTCCATTTAGAGCAGCTAACTTCAAAGGTCCCATTTTTTTGGCTTCGGCTCTGTTCTTTTTCATGACCTGCTGAAAACAAGGCAACCTGACAATGTGCTGCAGCAGAAACCTGGCTCAAATGAAATTGCTAGGGTGGGTGGCAGAGTGCGGAGGGGGCTCATCCCAAAAAGGGAAGAACCGCCAGCCCTTGCCTCCTCTGGCCGACAGAACCCTACAGAGACTGCAGTAGCAAAGCAACATTCTTTCCACCTGGTCTGTCTTCATTCCTCAAGTTTTCGAAACTTCATAGGAAGGATAAACAGACCTTAGGGAGAAAGGATCGTTGCAGACAATGGGCTTTCATGAACAGCCACAGGCTACAGTCCAAAAATTAGTGCAGGACAGCAAAATCGTGCACCCAAGTTGCATAGGTCCCAGTGACTTTTATTATTTTCTTCTTGCCCTTCTTTCCCAGCTCAGGGTGAGCAGATGTGTGCCTGCTGCTTTCATTTATACTCACAAAAACAACCCTGTGAGGTTTTTACAGCTGAGGCTAGTATGTGTGACTGGCCCAAACCGTGGACCTAGGTCTTCCTCCCCCAACATCAGTATTCTAACTACAGTGGTACCCTGGTTTACATACGTCTTGGTTTGCATACGTTTTGGATTACAAACACGTCAAACCCGGAAGTGTGTGTCCCGGTTTGCAACCTTTTTTGGATTACAGCCCATTTTTTTTGCATTATGAACAAATTTTTTTTGGAGGCTCCATTGGCGAAAGTGCGCCTTGGGTTACAACCTGTTTTGGTTTATAAACGGACCTCTGGAACAGATTATGGTTGTAAACCAAGGTACCACTGTACTGCACCACATTGGCTTACAATGAGGTTTGGACAGCCTAAATGTGCACAACTGGAATCAGTTAGCACAGAGCAGGAATGTGGAATCTGTGGCCTTCCAGATGTTGATGAACTACAACTCTAATCATCCCTGTGGCTGATGGGAGTTGGAGTGCAACAAACCATCTCTAGCTGCACAGGTTCCCCACTCCTGAACTAGACAAATGGAAATTAAGAGGAAAGTGTGAAGGAACACCTGGTTTGCTTATTTCATAAAATTTATATACCACTTGATTGTAAATTAATAACAATAGCCTGTCAAAGCACTTTACAAAAACACTCTCTTTACTGCCCCCTGACTTCATATACAAAGGTATGCATGGGACAAAAAACATTCTGCTACAGAAGAAGCAGATTTCCTACTCTCATTTTGCACAGTAGACACAGCAATTTTTACTGTTTTGCAGAATTGATCCTGTTTCTGAGACAAAGATGTATTCAAAGCATTGTTGCCTTTCAGCCAATATCACATTCTGCAGATTTCCTGCACTTCTGTGGAATACACACAGCCCTAAATACAACCTGTCAAATACCTTTCAACATTTAGCTGCCAGAAATTTGAACGTTTTTTACTGGCAGGCAAGTAACATTTCCCAACCCAGAGTATCCAGCCTTTCAAAGTCTAGAAGACAAGCAAAATGGTGAGACTCCTTAGCATTATGCCAGCTGAGCATGTATGTTGGCAGGAGATCTTTAATATGAAGTAGAAATTAAAGAGGTTATTGGCTTCCAAACACGTCAAGGCACAAAGTTACTGTTTGAAGCGGACTTTATATCCTAGCTTGTTTGGAAGCTATTAACCATATTAACACTCGATGGCATATTCATATGTAAAGCTCACATTACATGCACGCATATATTGTATACAGTCAGTTGGCCTGCACAAATCGACAAGCGTACATGCTTCCATGCAAACATTTGTACATGCGTAGAGACTGCTTGCCTGTGTTCCATGTAATGTGTGAACAAGCGTCTAGAAAGACAAAAGAGGAACATCCTAGTCTAGAGAAACTCACCCCTAAAGGAGGAAGCCCTTCCACTATGTTCTTCTTCCCGGAAAGCAATTCAGACACAGGCCTCTTCTTTATGGAATCCTTGCGCACCCTGTACCTTGCAGATATTGTTAAGTCAGACTCTGACACAGACGGAGTCAGCAGCCCATCGCCTCTTCTCTGTACCTGAGTGTCAGCCATGATGTGGGCAGGACTCGCATCTTTTACTCTCTTCTCGGTCTCAGTAATATGCAACTTGGGTTCGTGTATGTGCAAAGGGCCCGGATGTGAAGTGACGGAGCTGTAGGGGTAGTTCAGTAAGGACTCAGAAGGATAGCATCCCATGACAGAAGGAAGCTGGGGTTTCCCATTGACGAAGGGAGAGAGGGTTGCATTGGCCTTGTGTTCGTCTTCAAATTCTTCCTCTTCCTCGCTGCTGTGAATCAGCATAGTGGCATCTGAAAGAGACTTCTTATGCCCATAGCTCCCGTTTTCCTCTTGCTCCTCATTTTCCTCTTGTTTCATCCTCTCCAAGAAGACAGTGGGCTGCGAGCTGGCAAGTATCACCTTTGGAGGGGCCACGTCCGCGGCTGATGCTGACATGGTCCTCTCTTTAATCCTCATGGCCTCAAAGTTGTGGGCCAAGCCAGCTATCTCAATACTGTTCCTCTTCTGCAGCTGAGCGTGCCGGGCTGACGTCAAGGGCTCGCTCACTTCCTGGAGGGAATGCGCAACGGGTAGACTGTCTTCCTGAAACGTCTGGACCGAGTGATGAACCCGCCGGGTAATGAGATCCGGATTGCTGCTGCTGATGTAGAGGTGGCGAGACAGGTCGGGCGTGCTGTTGGCGGGTCTCGGGTGAGGGTAAGGAGGAGGGGGGCGATACACTTGAGTCTTCATGATGTTTGGCGCAGGGTACTCCTGGGCCTGTAACTGAACGTTCGTCAGTTCAGGGACGCTCACTGCTCCAACCACCAAGCGCCTTTCAGCAGGATAGGGGTAGGGCGACTGGCTGTGGAAACTGTAATTCAGGTTGAATGGGTAGTGGCCAGAATGAGGGGAGGTAAAATTGGCGTGTTCTCGGATTTCAGGCTGGCTATAAACCATGGCGTCGGGCCTACTGTAGGCGTAGGAGTTGCCGATGTTAAGGTTCCTCATTGAGTGGCTCTGCTTGTCCGAGTGGATCATTCCCCGGTTAAGCTGCTTCATCACCGTCTCGTAATCCGGGGTAGGCCGATACGAAGGCGGTATAAGGGCACTGTGCCGGTGTGACGGGACGTAATCAGACCGGAGGACGTCACTGCCGGTGATGCTCGGGTTGGAGGACATGGGCGACGGCTGCATGTAGTGTTGTGGGTTATTCAATGAGTTTGTGCTGTGAGCGCTGTAGACGCTGCCGTTGCGGATTCTGCCATTGTAGTCATGCGGCGCCCTGTCCAGGCTGGTCTGAGAGTGGCAGTAATAGCCGTTCTGGTTATTCCCATAGAGGTTATCTGAAATACACAAGTTAGGGCCCTTTTATAGCCACCCGCAGAAGCTTCAAAAAAGGCATGTAATAGCTGTTAACGAAGTGTCAACCTCCCCTCTCCTCCATGTGCATTGTGTGCTTTTAGATCGGTAACGAAATTGTGCCTCTCTCTGTATCAGCAAATTAATCTGACAACATCATGGTCAACAGCTAAAATGGGCTGAATATCTAATTTCAATCCACTGCAAAGAACAGCCTAAACATAACAACGGCCTGATGGATCAGGCAGTGGCCTATATAAATCCAGCATCCTTTACTCACACTGGGTGCAATGGGAGAAGCCTACAAGCAGGACATGGGCGCAAGAGCACTCTCCTGTCCTGTGGTTTCTAGAAACTGGTATTTAGAAGCATTACTGCTTCCAACTGTGGGGAGGGAACATAGCTAATGGAAGAGCCCAGTAGGTCCCCAGTCTTGCAGTATTACCCAGCTTCAATTTCCAGTACCTCCAGATCCTACTGCCAATCAAAATAGGCAGTGTTAATCTAGATCAGTGTTTCTCAGACTTGGATCTCCAGCTACAAATCCCATCAAACCTGATCACTGGTCCTGCTGGCTAGGGATGATGTGAGTTGTAGTCCAACAACAGCTGGAAAGACCCAGCTCGGGGAAACTCTGGTCTAAATGAACAAGTAGGCTGACCTGGCATAAGACGACATACTCATGACAGGTCCATGTGCAATGTCAAAGCATAGATAAAACAAACCAAGGTTTATAAGTCAAAAAACAAGACTACAGATTGTGGTGTGCTAGCAATTAACAAACCACAGTTAAGCCATTGGGCATTGTTCAATCAAACAATCAAACAAATCACGGTTCAATAATCCATTGTTAATAAACCTTGGCTTGGTGTTACAGTACATGCAAATCAGGTCACATTCTCCCATCCAGGCACTGAATGCATTGATAACATTAATAATAACATTAATAACAGTATAATGACCTCCCACTCTCTTCTCTACCACTTCCAATTCAATAATGTAATTTTCCTCAAACTCCTTTATTGGCAGAGTAAAATATTGAAGTTTCCCAAGCACCTTAAACCTTTACCTTGGGAAGATGTATACTGGTCTGCATAGGGTCCATTGTAGTGCAACTGAGGTGGTGGTGGAGCCATCATATAAGGCTGCGGTTTGGGCTGCTAAAAAAAAAAGATATTATAGAACTAAGTGGAGATCTACACAAAATTATGATTATATATATTTTTAATACCTGTTGGAAGTTGCCCAGAGTGGCTGGGGCAGCCCAGTCAGATGGGTGGGGTACAAATAAGAAAATTATTATTAAAACTATTTTTATTATAACTTAAAGCACTCCAGGATGCATGTAGTGTTATTTGCAAGCACATGCTGCCTCACACATCTCGCTGGCGGAAGAGAGCTGTACATAAAAGGGAATGTTCATTCTAACTGGCTAACTTATTTAGGGTTGTCATATTTCACAAAGTGAAAGCAAAATCTGTAAAAAAAAAAAAAATTTTTTTTGGCCAAAGTCGTTGAGGTTTTGTTTTTTTGCAAAATCTGTTTGGTTTTTTTAAAGGAAGTATTTGAGCTTTTTTAAAAGGAAATTTGCCAAAATCTACACTTCCGACATGGGTCGCCATACATCAGGATTTCCCCAGACATTAAAGCAATTTCCGACTGGATGCTGTTTCCAACGGCGAAATCCCAGCTATATCCAGGAAATTCTGGACAGATGACAACCCTAACTTACTAGAAACTAATAGGATGTCCACAGCTGCAGGGTGGGGTGGGGGAAGGCCACACCTATTGGAATTCCTGTGTCTGCAAGAAAACTGCTGAATCAGGCAAACACTACCTTAGGTAGCTAAAATGCATCTCTTGAAGTTGACAGCCAAGAGCACCTGCCAATCATCCAGTCAGCAGTATCTATGTTAAACCAATAAGGATGTAACAGCCAACTCAAGGCTATTATGAAGAAATTACTCACTCCAGTTGTGCAAAACTTGGATTATCCAATAGAGTCAGTACAGTATAGCAAAACTAGCCTTTGTACCTTAACAAGGAAGAACCTACTACGCTAGCTGCTGTGTCACAGTGTGATATGAGGACATGAGTGCGGACAGCTTCCTCCCAGCAAAAAACAGCTAGGGAAGATGTTTAGATTTTTTTAAAAAAATTAAAGGGATTAGCCTAAAAGCAGGAATATTCACAGAATAATCTGAACTGATTCGTTGTCAGAATCATTGGTCATTCAGAATAGAATAGAGGCATGGGATGCAATTTGGTGAATGAAATATGGCTCTTGAATTCATGATAGCAGTAATGGGGGTGTCTGTTGGATTCTAAGGAAGCCCTGAGACCTAAAGAAGAAGAAGAGTTTGGATTTGATATCCCGCTTTATCAATACCCGAAAGAGTCTCAAAGCAGCTAACATTCTCCTTTCCCTTCCTCCCCCACAACAAACACTCTGTGAGGTGAGTGGGGCTGAGAGACTTCAGAGAAGTGTGACTGGCCCAAGGTCACCCAGCAGCTGCATGTGAAGGAGCGGGGACACGAACCCAGTTCACCAGATTACGAGTTTACCACTCTTAACCACTACACCACACTGCCGCTTTATTGCCATTCCCTGGAAGCACAAAAGTTGGGTTAAGTGGAAACTGACGAGTGGATGGCAGAGGCAGTCCCTGACTAGACTCTTTTCATGTATTTCAAGCTGCAAATGTAAATGAAACAAGCCAGTCAGTTTAGGCTTTTGCAGGACCTGCTGTTCAGAGTAATCTCTTCAAATTCATGAGGATTAACACTGATCTGTGTAAAGTTTCGTGCGACAGAGGAAACAGCTGGTCATGGAATATGGGATTGTTTGACCCTGTCCGTAAACATAATGAGTTAGGCATTGCAATTTTGTCTTTGACGGCTGTGCTATAGAACAAAAATTGTCTTTGGGGTCTGAGGTTAAAGACTTTGTGGAAGTTTTTGACAGATACAAGTGAGTTTAACTGAGGTGCAGAAACTGCTAAAGCCAGCAGGTGGTGGTAATGGGGCCTCTCTTATGGCTTTGCAATGCCATTAAACATTTGAAGGGTTTTGTATGAGAGTAGAAGGCAAAGTGCTTAGATTTTTTTAAATTTCTAATTGACTTCAAATTTTGATGGGCTATTCAAATATTCACGACTATACCAGATTTCTATTAAGTGCTTATTTCAAATCCATAGGCCTTCTATCACATAGGAGTCAGCAGCCCATCCACCACAAAGGAAATTGGTCCTTTCTAGCTTTTTCGAGTTTCTCCTATCAACAGCCCTTCAGCCAATGAGAAACCTTTCCACCTTAATTAATAACCTTTTAAATGAAACCTCAAAGAATACGGAAGAGCTTGGAGCTAAAGACCTTACCAGAGACATCCTGGAGGAGGACCTTCTTCGAACCGGATTCACGGTCACCGCCTGAGCTTGTCTACAGAGCAAAGTTACACACTTAAAAACAGATTTTGAAGTAATGTCATTGACAGTGCGGTCCTATGTTTGCATACTCAAAAGTAAGTCTCACTGTGCTCAAAGGGATTTTTCCCCAGTTAAGTGTGTTTAGGCTTGTAGTCTTGGGGACAAAAAGTGTGAAGTGCCTGCTACTCCATTGTAAGAGAGAGGCCACCAAGAAAGGCAAATGGAAGAAAATGTTGTGACTTTAACATCCTTTCTCCATCAGGAAACAGTGGCATTAATGCTCATCTTGCATGTATTGCATTAACACCAGGAGTTCAAAGGGAGGACAACTCAGATTTCCAGAAATCTGCTCGAAGGAGACAGTAGCATTTTGCTTGGCAATCTAGTATTCCTCAAGCAGTCCTGCCCATACTGTAGCTGTATTCATAATTGCATGGCTAGGTTTTGCTGCAAGGATATATTTGTTCATAGTTAGTGAATTCCCAAGTAAATCTTAAACACATCTGGTTCTTTGTCTTTATTAATTAGATAGACCAGGCTGCTCAATTTAATACTTTAGCTCAGTTTATCTCTGAGTGGCTCAAGCATGCTGGTAACAGTGGAGTTGTTTGAGAGCTGTCCTTGTCTGAAGAGGCACACCCATGTCCAATAATAAGCCCTGCCTGGCTTGTAGGACACACTCCTGTTGCCCTCCTGCAATATGGCAGAGACTACAACCAGGAATTTTGTAGCCTCACCTCTTGCAAGAAGCAAGGCCAGCAGTCAACAGAGATGGGGCTTGTAGCTCAGCAACATATCAAGGACCGTAAGTTATCTACTGCTGGCTTAAGCATACCTGCCTGCCCTTTTCAATCCATTTGAGTTCTTTCCTTCTGTAGCCCCTCCAGATCCTCCCAATCTAATTTGTTTCCCCCATCTGCTCTGAGCCCATCTGCCACTGCAAGCGACAGGGAAGAGAACCACAGGCAAGACTACCATGTCTACAAGGAAGACACATTCATGACACACCAGCATTAACTGATCCATCAGGTCTCAGGGCACTTCTTGCCTCAGTTGTTGCAGGAAGTCCCAGCTGTGTTCCTTGCCAGACGGAGCTACTGGCCAAAAAGAACACATAATGGGTACTTTTGGCGGCCACAATGCAGAGTACTCCTGGTCTAATCACTCCTGTGACAATGGGAATAAATCAGGTTGTGACCTGTGCAGAACCTTGCACAGGCATACCCCACTTCTTGCATAAATTGGTCCTATGGTGCACATTATCACTTCACTAACTTACACTGAATTTGGGGATCACGCAGTTTCATTAATCTTTCTGTCCCATCTGGCACGTTCAGTTTGTAACAGCACAAGTCCATGCCCAGTGCTATTTTTCTAGAAAAAGAGGTGCCGGAACTCAACATGAACGCCTCTCTTGTAATGGCAATGGTGCCCACCTGAGAGGTGCCGGAACTGAGTTTCGGCTGAAAAAAAGCCTTGCCCATGCCAACCTTAGATATGCTTGGCCTGAATCCAAAGCAATTCTTTCACCCCACCCTCGCAGTCTGCTCATGTCCAGGGTCCTGTTCTCGCAGCAGCCAATCACATGCCCATGGGAAGCCCAAAAGCAGAACTCAAGTGCTTCCCCGCAACATCTGATGCCCAGCAATTATATTCAGAGATACACTGCCTCCGAGAGTTGAGCAATGCATGACTGCATTGTGTTGGTGCTATGGGAGCTAACAGGGGAGCAGTACAAATACGTTGCATGCAAAGAACACAAAAGGAAAGAAAGAATGTTTACTGGCTCACCCTTTGAGCAGAGAAGGACGAGAAAGGATTGGAAAGCGTGGAAAGGAAAGAATGAGGAAAGATTTCTGAGAGCCTTCCTCAGGCGGAGAATCTGGGGAGTCTCTAAAGACAAGGTACATGCAGACAAAATGTAGACAATGAAACAACACATTTATAACAAAAAGGATGCTTGTTATCAATGGAGGAGACATTTCAAGAGATTGTCAGATGGGTTTCTCAAGGGTGCTCCTATGGTCATGATCACCCAGTCCCTCCTATAATCACAAATTGAAAAATTGAAAGCAGAGTCTATAGGAAAATGATTTGATTAGTCTACGACAGGGATGGAAAACATGTGGTGTCTGAGGTCGTGTGTTTTTGGACAGCAGGCATGAGTTAGGAGGCAAAGAGTCTCTGTTCCTGTTTAACAGCAAATAAGTTCCTAGTCCACACAGCTAGAAGAAAAATGCTAGTTGTGTATCTTAAAGAAACAAGGACAGACAAAACAATGCTCAGTTGCATCACAGTTTCCCCACCTCAAATCTCATTGTATTGAAACCCAATAGAAGGGAGGAGATAGATTTATTTGACTGTGGGTGGTTTTTTTAAGGGACTTGAGTTAGTGTTGTCAACATTTGACATTTATTACACCATAATATTGCAAAGCAATAATAAACGGATTGTGTTCACAGTAATAAAATAAACTATTCATTATTATATTTTTAGACCACCCTTCAACAAAAATTCCCATATTTCTATAAAAGTGTTCTGGTAAAATGATAATAAAAATTAAGAGTAATTTCTTGAAACTGTTTCTGGTAGAGTTTTAACAAAGTGGCTTGTTTAAATCATGGCGGATACAAGGGGCAGACAGTGACCTCTCACATCACTGTAACAAGCATTGCTTCCTACAGACATAGCACTGAACCTCTCCACAAATGACACCATTTTGGATTTCTGGCCTCTTCCTCCATCCCTCTTTGGGCAATCAGTTGTACGGTAGTTCTTCCAAATGCCATGCCATTCTCTCTGCACCATTCCCACAACACAGACGTTCTCTGGCAAAAGTCCTCATAGGAACAGGTTCATGGGAGAATGTGACATATAAATGGAATACTTTTCCACCTTGTTATACTTCCAGTGAGAGAACCAAGCCTTTGTGAGTCATCTTGGTAATCCTGTAACATGCACCTTAGTCCACTGGGAGCTGGTCTGCTACTACACTGGGGGTGAGGAAGCTGTGGCCCTCCTAATGTCGTTAGCTAGTCTGATGGGAGTTGGGAGTCCAAAAACGTCTGGAAGGCTATTGGCTAACCACCCTTGCACAAATCCCATCTTATAGCACTAGACTTTCTTATTACACAGTAGGAGGACTGTGAAACTTGAAGGATAATTACATTCTGATCCACACATTATTCCAGGAGGTGTGAAGTCAGTTTGCTCTGGAATTCACAAAAACAGAATTCTTTAAGCACCCTTAACCCAAGGTACATCAGAGGTTTTCAACCTTTTTGAGTCCACGGCTCCCTTGACCAACTACATTTCTTCTGCAGCACTCCTGTGGGGTTCAGGAGCGCCCAGTTATGTCACCCCTTGTCTGCAGAGATAGCAGCCTCTCACCCATTTTTGAACACTCTCCTTTGTAGTGTGTTCCCTTAGCCTCCCCTTCTTTCCCCAGTCCTTGGGAGTCCCTCCAGGCAGCTGCTGCCATCCCTGGTCTCTGAGCTGCTCGGCCCCCACCCCATCCCAAAGAGAGGTGCCCTCCCAGAGGTAGCATTCACTTGCAGAGCTTATAGCCAGGGCTGCTGCAATAAACAGCTATGCAAGCCTTTGGGAGGCAGAGATGCAAGAGGGCATGAGAAGAAGGAGGGAAGGAAAGAGGGACAGAGGCCAGTGTTGCCCGTGGCACCCCTGGCCATCATTCAAGGCACCCCAGGGTACCACGGCACACTGGTTGAAAACCACTGCAATACATTATTCTTAGATTCAGCACCAAGAATAAGACTTCTGTGGCCTCAGATAAAGCTCCTGTTTGAACGCTGGAGTCTGCACTCAGAAACAAAGCTATTTGGTTAAGGTGTTCAAGTAGTAAAGTACAGAATATAAATTAATGAGGAGAGAGATTCACTAAAGGATTATTATACTTACAGGCTACATTTATTTAGTCTATAAAATTTGTGCCTGGCCACACACATCCTCCACACATATTTTGCCGTTTCCATGTCTTCCTGTTAAACAAAAGAGATTGTATGTAAGACAAAACGAGTGGCTAGATGCATCTCTTTCAAATCACTTCCCTACTAAGAGGATTCTCAGGACCAAAGTAAGGGCCAGCTTTGGCCTATCTTCTTGCTGCATAAACTCAAGGACAGTGGAAAGGAAGAGAATCCCACTCAGACATTGTTGTTGTTGTTGTTAATTAAATTTATATACAGCCCTTCATCTGAAGATCACTGGGCTATTTCCAACATAAAAATACAAAAAGAAAACTCAAAATACATAAAACAAACAACAACAACAACGGGAAAACACCAGTAAGCCCTCCCCCCTCCCACAAACACATTTAAAAGACCACAGTTCGGGTCTACAAAGGTCTGATATCTAAAAGCCAACAGATGATTTATGCCTTCTTTCTCATGCCATACATTTTATTTAAAATGCATATGAATAAAATCTCACTCACTTACAGTTTGGAACTGGATAGTCTCTTCTTTATTTGCCAATTCTAATGCAAAAAAGGACTTGTTGTGGGACATGTTAGCAATGTCATGCCACCTAGGCAGGGGTAAGGAAAGAAGAGAGTGTAAGAGAGAGAGAGAGAGAGAGACCTCACAAAGCACTCTGCTTTAACTGCACGTGTATAAGAGGGGATCTGAATTCGCCATGCCATTTCCCACATAGTTGCAAAAATTCTTAGCTACTTTGCAAAGTTTCTGCTTCAGGGGGTCTTACGTTTTGGTTGGTTTGATGCTTGCTTGCATGCACACATGCATCTGCAACACAGGGAATCACAAGGTATGAACTGACCACATGACTGGGCACCTAAAGGTTAAGGGACAAAGACGCTTAAAAGAATCACCATCGCAGGAAATGAGCTCACCTAAAGATGACGGGAGGCCGGCCATTTTTGTGTTTCACAAAGATTCCATCAAGACAAGCTCCGATGAATATGTCACTTCCTTGGCTGTCCTGAAAGATACAGAAATTGCATATCACTTGCACCTTCTTCCTTGCGAAAATAGCTTCATTCGTCATACCCTGCCCACAGCACCCTGCTCCCATGTTTGTGCTCTAAATTTGCACCAACAATGCAAAGTAAGCTCATTAGATGTGTTAAAAATTGAAATGCTCAATATCTCCTTTAATAAAAAAAACCAGAAGCCTTTTTTCTGGGAATTACAGACTCAGATATTCCCAAAAATGTAAGAGAGATCTTTTTATATGCCACGCTCGCAGCAAGAGTTCTTATTGCAGCAAACTGGAAGAGTTATAAAGTTCTTTCAAGGCTAGAATGGATTCAAAAGTTGGTTGAATATGCGGAACTAGATAATATGAAACTGAAAGAATAAAGAACAACCCAAAACAAGTATTTATCTCAAAATGGGTAGTCTTCAAAATATATTTGAAAAACAACTGTTGCAGTTTAAACTCTGTTGCTGCGTTTGAGTAATTTCAGTAGCAGTTTTAAGTCTGATGCGAGACCCAAGATATAAAAAAAATTTAAATTCTGTTAATAATCTGCTATGTTTTGGCAGCAAGTTAGTGATGAGTAACTGAAGTAAGGAGTGGACGGGAAGTTTGGTCTAAAGCAAGAAGACCTTTTTAAATTTATGGCTTTGTGTTTATTATTTGGTATACTATGGGTTCGTGTTTGGTATATGGTTTATTATTTGGGTACGGTATTTGGTATATTACTTTTTTCTTATTGTGTTGATGGATATGGATAGTTGCCTTTTTTGTGGATTTATGTGAAAACAATAAAAAAAACTGATTGTGTTTTAACAACCCTGCCTTTCTACAAAAAATACAATATAAAATACATGATAAAAGAATCAAACAATGTTCCTGTTTGCCTAATTTGTTTCCAAACTGAAAATCTGGAATGTTTTAAGTTCAGAAATTCTGCATGCTGAACAGAGACCTGAGCAATCCAAGTTTGACATCTGAGCAATCTCTTGACGTTTCGGCAAAAATATTCTGATATCTCAGAACTGTAAGTAACAAGCCAAAGTGACTTAGGCCTGAGTCAGCTTAATATACCTTTTTTAAAAATGCAAAGAGAGAGTTTTTATTATTATAGTCGTGCCTTTGTGAAGTCATGGCACAAACAGTCAATAAATTCACAGAAGAAACTTAGCTTTACCTTTGCAGGATAACTCTCTTCACCATATCCTTCCATCCTCTCAACTTCTTGCATATATAACATTTCTGCATCAGGTGGAGTGAGGCCCCTTCAGAAACAAAAAAAGAAATTCAATTTGCTAAGTAGCTTCTTGAGGCAGGTTAGACTGCTTCTTTTAGCATATCAAGAGTCCACTTTTCTTGTATGTTCCCCAGCAGAAATACACTTGGTGCAATATCTGCACTTGGTGCAGAAAATTTTTTGCAAAAAGCAACTACACTGAGGGTTAAAATGACCACTGTTTAACTTCCATAAGCACTTGTGGAATTATTTATTTCAGGTATTTATTGACAGAAGTATTTTACTGCCCTATCATGAAATATCAGTGCATTTAAGCATTATATCCAGGATATAAAAAATAATTCTAAGCCTTTTACAGTTTCCCTTGCTTCATGTATCTCCAATGATCAGGTTTCTGGCGCTCAAAAGGTTTGCTGCAGCCTTTTGGTTTGGGGCCAGTGCAGACATAATACTGGCTCTCTGAAAAATGTGGTTAGCAACAACAAACCCACACTCAAGGAATATGTGCCCAATATCTGAGCAAATTTCTCCCTCTCATTCTAATAACATGCTGACAACAACATGGGTTAAAGCAAACCGGGGTTTCTATTAACCCTCTTTGAAAACTGGAAATCATGTTTAGCTTAAATTGGTGTTAGTTAGGCACAGAGCCAGGGCTACATCTGCACTAGCGCATATGTGAGCAAGCTCATCTAACAATATTCAGACCTGAAACAGCAGCACAATTTCAGAACCGTTACCTGTACTTCTGATGGAGTAAGGCCACCTTCTGGGTTGCTTCTTCCAGGATCTTTTCATCTTGCAACCAACCCTTAAGCGAAAGAACAGAAACCATGAGCCTTCCTCGCATGTAAATTCACAACCCTCCAAACTTAATGAAGGGCTGGCGAACATTCATATACCCCAGGCAGCAGTAGAGGGAGAAGCCTGGGCCATCTACCCAGGAAGAGAGCAAGTAGTGCACTTTAACATCTATTGCCTGCTATCTCAACTTCTGGTAGGCTTGCAGAGCTTGGCTTCCTAGAGGGCCGAGTCAGGCTTGACTCGGCAGTTCTTGATTGCAGGCACCTGTGCCTGCCTTCATCAGTACCTCCTTAAGAAACACTGCCTTGGGCCGTGGGTTCACCACCAAAGGGGTTTACCCCCCATTGGGAGCCACTTGGGTGAGGGTGTTTAGTCCTTGGAATATTTGGTTACTGATGGGTTGATTCCAGGAACAACCAGTAACAATAATAATTAATTATTTTTTATTTATACCCCCCTTCCCGGTTCAAAAACTGGGCTCAGGACGGCTAACAACAAATTTAATTGTAAAGGCAGCATAAAATACACTATAAAAACATGAATAATCATAAAATTCAAAGTTCGGAAATCAATTTAGGGGAAATCCATCTAATAAGCATTAGATAATCACCAGGACTAGCTGGCTGAATTAGTCCTACTTGGGCCAGCGAGGAGGCCAGGGGAGAATTAGCTGTGGGGTCTCAGAGCGGGTAATCTTCATAAAAGGGGAGGGGGAGGGAAGAGAAGGGAAATAAAAGATCAGGCTGAATTCAAATTAAAGGCCAGGTGGAATAGCTCTGTCTTACAGGCCCAACAGAAGGAGGTTAAATCATGAAGGGCCCTAGTCTCATGGGACAGAGCATTCCACCAGGTCGGAACCATCACTGACAAGGTAGGTGCCCTAACCCAGCCTCTTGGTGAGATATGGTGTGCTAGGGAATGGCGACCTGGTGAAAGCATGGAAAACATCCATGGGTGCAAATGCAAAATGTTTAATGGGTGGTAATTGGATAGTGAGCTCTCCTGTTGAGGTAATTAAGCAACTGCCTTTAGGCAGAGAGGGTGGAATCTCTCTGCTCATGAAGAGTCCAGTAGGCTCCTTAAGTTTCCTGAGGAGTTCCAGGCTATGAAGGAGGTTGGTCAGTAGCTGGAGCATAGGTGGCACTAAATTTGGCACATATCTGACCAAATAGAGGAGCAAATACACAGCCATACCTACCACATGGCAGGTGAGGAGAGCATCACTCTCTGTCTCTATTGCAGTGGTTCTCAACCTGTGGGTCCCCAGATGTTGTTAGACTACAACTCCTATCATCCCTGAGCTCTGGCCTTGCTAGCTAGGGATGATGGGAGTTGTAGTCCAACAACATCTGGGGACCCACAGGTTGAGAACTGCTGCTCTATTGCATCTTCAGTGAATCTCCAAGCAGGGCTGTTTACAGAGTGGTAAATGAGCTGGCTCAGAACAGTGTTAAATCACTGACACTGAACCAGTCAGTAGCCTGAGGTGAGAGATTTGTGAAGAAGAAGAGTTTGGATTTGATATCCCGCTTTATCACTACCCGAAGGAGTCTCAAAGCGGCTAACATTCTCCTTTCCCTTCCTCCCCCACAACAAACACTCTGTGAGGTGAGTGGGGCTGAGAGACTTCAGAGAAGTGTGACTAACCCAAGGTCACCCAGCAGCTGCATGTGGAGGAGCGGGGAAGCGAACCCAGTTCACCAGATTACGAGTCCACTGCTCTTAACCACTACACCACACTGAATCATTTTGAGAGCCAGATCACTTGGATCCGTACTGAACTTGATACCACAGTTGGTTCAGATCTGTTGGGAGGTCCTGGGAACAACCAAGATTTACACCTTGAGGGGTCAGTGGCTTCAACCCGTTGATGTGGGATGCTTGCAGCGGTGAGACCAACAATATGCCTTCTTCATCCCTGCCTGACCAACATGGCTGATAAAACTGGGTAGAAGGTGAATGACTAAATGGAATGGTCAGTGCCTCACTGCAGGAGGGAGTTATGCCCACTGCCTTGAAAGAAGCGATATTTTAATTTCTCCCAGGTTTTTATATTATGATATAGTGGACGCTCAGGTTGCGAATGTGATCTGTGCAGGATGCACGTTCGCAACCCGCAGCGTTCGCAACCCGCATCTGCGCACGCGCAGGTTGCGATTTAGCGCTTCTGCACATGTGCAAAGTGCGACCGAAACCCGGAAGTAACCCGTTCCAGTACTTCCGGGTTTCAGCGGTCCGTAACCTGAAAAAACGCAACCTGAAGCGTCTGTAAGCCGAGGTATGACTGTATTAACATTAAACAAGTTTTCAGAACAGGAAGGGTATCTAAATGACCCTTTTGAAAGGGGGGGGGGAGATTTAGTAATGAATGGTACTACTTTTGAAAAATGATTTTTTAAAAAACTATTTTTATTTATCAAGCTTCTCAGGCAATCCTCTAAAGTGAATTACAATAAAGTAAAGACTAACACACATCTGTTGGGTTTAAAAGACAAAATAAAAAGATTAGCAACCACCAGGCATAATGTGTTCACTTCTGATATTTCTACATCAGTTTGTTTTCCCCCCAGTAATTTCCAAAATTGGAATTGGAGAGAGAAGGGGGAAGAAGTGAGCTATTCTTACCACAGGAAACAAGGCAAATCTCTGTAGAAATTCCTGCGATTCATATTGGTCATAATCTCCAAAATCAGCTGAGGAATTAAGAGAAAACAGGCAGGAATTAAGTGCATAGGGAAGTTCACTATTTCAGAAAAGTCTCATAACAGATACAGCATAGTGGTTGGTGCCCTTTGGTTTTTCATCTCAAAATAAAATTGTGCAAAGCCAAGACTGCTTAAATTGTACAAGAGCAATTAAACAAGTAATAATTTGTTGAACAGTCATTATTAAAGAGCCAGATGATGCTAAAGAAAAGAAATTAAAGAATGTTGCATAAACAAGCTATTTCAAGTCATCAGTTTGATCTCACTGGCAAATAACGTTCTTGGCAAGTCTTTTCTAGCACACGAGATCACCATTCATAGCAAGTAAACGGAGGCAGCAAAGGAAAATAGACCAGAGGCTTAGAGCACTCTCTTCGTTTTCCCTGCCAGGCATCCACCTCATTCTTGTGGTTGTTTTCTTCTCTGGCATATAGCAGCTACACCAAAGTGCTAAGTTAAAACCAAGAGTGATACTGCCTCCTGCATTTCGCAGATGAAAATAAGGCCACACTTGAAACACCTCTCTACCCAAATTAAAAACTGCTGTCTGTGAGCATCATGAATCGCTGAAGGATGCAACTTTCTCTTGTGCTATGCTGGTTTCATTTAGGGTCGTCCTCCACTGGTTTTAAAAGCCAAGACGGTCCGTTTGTTCTTTGGGCTGCGATATATTTTTAAATACACAAACGTCCGATATTATGCTGCTGAAGCTCAAAATGTGCCTCTGCAGGTTGTAAAATGTCATGTTGTGCATTGTCAGGCAAAGCCCCATCCTTCAGCAGAGGGACCTACTACTGATGCCTTGAGCCTTCTAGCCTGGCTTTTGCTGCTCCTTGCTGCCATTGCCTGCTCATCTGATCTCTTTAAGAGAGTGGGTCTTTTCTGTAGTAGCTCCTTATCTATGGAATCGTCTCCCCAGAGAGGCCCGCTTGGCACCAGCTTTCATTTTGGCACCAGGAAAATAAGCTTTTGTTGTGCTGGGCATTTGAGCTGCACCAATTATAGGTTGGTGGTTTTTTACTCTACGTTCTTAATGTGTTAATGCAATCTATTACAACATTTTAATTTTTGTTTCAATCAATTTGGGGTGTTTTGTCCTGGGAAGCCATCCTTGAATTCAATTAACTAACTAAATGAGAAAGCCAACAGTGATAGGGAGCAAGGAGAAGCCCCTGCTTATTTCACCCTCTTTATTTTGGCAGCTGTAAGCAGAAGAGGGCAAGAGAAGGGAAAATAGAGGGGAAGGGGTAGTGGCTACAAAGCAGTGGGCCCATTTGGGTGGGGCTCACTAAGGGCATCTTGCCAAAGGACTCCCTGCCCCAAAAGCTAGGGATGGCACTCTGCTAAAGAGATTTGACTGCTGAAGAACCAGGAGGAGAAACCTTGAAAATTATTATTATTATTATTATTATTATTATTATTATTATTTATACCCCACCCTCCCCGGCCAGAGCCGGGCTCAGGGCACCTAACAACAGTAAAATTACAGTAAAAACATAATGGGGGGGGGACCAATTTAAAATACAGGTTAAAATGCAATTTAAAATGCAGCCTCATTTTAAAAGTAGCCCATCAAAACCATAAGGGGAGGGAAACATAAGGGTCAGACTTAGTCCAAACCAGAGGCCAGGTGGAACAGCTCGGTCTTGCAGGCCCTGCGGAAAGATGTCAAGTCCCTCAGGGCCCTAGTCTCTTGTGACAGAGCGTTCCACCAAGTCGGGGCCAGTACTGAAAAGGCCCTGGCCCTAGTTGCGACCAATCTAACCACCTTGCGACTTGGGACCTCCAAAATGTTGTCATTTGTGGACCTTAAGGTCCTCTGTGGGGCATATCAGGACAACTCCAGCAGCTCACATGCCACCGCCATTTCAAAGGGCATCCCTAAAAGGGCAAAATGGGAACACAATAATAACAACTGTAATTTACTTGGGACAGGTAACCAAGGAAAGGGAAGGCCTCTGGCAAACAGGGACAGTTAGAGTACATGGGAACACATAAAGAATGTGACTTCTTCTCCTTCCTGGGACCTAACATTCTGCAGTAAGCAAGGATGAGCAATGGAACCGAGGATGAGTGATAAAAGTAAAGGAGGAAAACATTAAGACAGAAGTAGGGAAAGGAAAAATCCAATACGATGGTGGGGGTGGGAGTGGGGAGAGACAGCGCAAATTTGCACTGCATAGCTTCTGCTCAGAGTCTGCTGCAATTTCACTGCTATTTTCTGTGTAAAATAGTAGAAATGGGCTTTATAGGTAGGTAACGCCACTGAAAATGGCAAGGAGGAAAATGAAGATTGTAGGAAAGGAACAAAATCATAATTCCTAGGTATTAAAGCCTACTTCCCTTCAGCGTGCTGGATATACATACCAAGGGAGAATGAATGCATCATTCAAAGGCATTTCAGAAAATGACAGCCAATTTCAACAGTCTGGGTAGTCATTTTGCTATTACCTTTTGAAATACCGTTATAGTTCTGGGCAGCCTGGTTTTAACTTCAGTTTCTGCAAAGCACATTTCCTATATTCAAGCAGTTATCCTGCAACTGTCAAAAGGCATTGCGGCTCTAATGGTTTTAAAGTGGTCCAAAGGAAACCTGAGTATCTTGTAGGGCATGCTCAAATCATGCTGTCTGAACTAGACTTCATACACCTTGTGTGGTACTGTAGTCATGCATATACCAGTTCACTCACAGGTTGTTGTTGTTGTTGTTTTAAAAAACAACCTAAAGAATGGGTAGGCAAACTAAGGCCCGGGGGCCAGATCTGGCCCAATCGCCTTCTAAATCCGGCCCCTGGACGGTCCAGGAATCAGCATGTTTTTACATGAGTAGAATGTGTCCTTTTATTTAAAATGCACCTCTGGGTTATTTGTGGGGCCTGCCTGGTGTTTTTACATGAGTAGAATGTGTGTTTTTATTTAAAATGGATCTCTGGGTTATTTGTGGGGCATAGGAATTCATTCATATATTTTTTTTCTAAGTATAGCCCAGCCCCCCACAAGGTCTGAGGGACAGTGGACCAGCCCCCTGCTGAAAAAGTTTGCTGACCCCTGACCTAAAGGCTCACAAAAAAGAATATGCAGGACTGCATTTGACTCCAACTCTTTTCTAAAATAAAGCACTGTTATTGGAGCTATCCTCTCTACAATTATACAGTCAGTAGAGAATGAGATAGTTAAATCCCAGGGTGGTAAAGATTCCTGCATTGCAGGGCATTGGGCTAGATGATCATCGCGGTCACTTCCAACTCTACAATTCTAATAAAGTACCTGCAGTTTATTAACAATGTTAATAAGCACACTTCCCTGCAAAGTTTCTTACAGTGGTACCTCTGGTTACGAACGTAATTCGTTCTGGAGGTCCGTTCTTAACCTGAAACTGTTCTTAACCTGAGGTACCACATTAACTAATGGGGCCTCCCGCTACCGCCGCCGTGCGATTTCTGTTCTCATCCTGGGGCAAAGTTCTTAGCCCAAGGTACTACTTCCAGGTTAGCGGAGTCTGTAACCTGAAGCATCTGTAACCCGAGGTACCACTGTACTAGCCTTTTGGCCATGCTCTTGGGAGATGTGACTTTCCAACGGTAAAAAAACACACAATAAAATGTTATTTGGCTCTACTGAATTTGTACGCAGGGGAGGTTGCGGATCTTAAAAAATGAAGAGCTTATTTTGCACTTGCTTACAGCAGCACAGGCATCCATAGTAAAACCTTTGAAAACTGTAGTTCGGAATCATATAGGGTATTGCTACTCAAGGCAGGTATGGTAAATAGTCCTTCTCTGGGGGGAAATCCCACAAATTAAAAGTATCCAGAGGATGAGTGGTATGATTTTATTTTTTATTTCATTTGCAAACAAGGAGGCACATGGTAGAAGAGTTCCGTTGATATACACTAAGGTCTGGATCTTGCAAACCCAACAAGAATTGAGACGGGAGTTTAAAAGCGACAAGAAAATGATTTGTTTCAATGCGCCGCTCATGGATTCCCAAAAGTGAATTTGGTTTTAGGTTTATCATGTAAAGCTAGCAGGGTTACAGCAAGGCCTGTCTAGCTATGCACTGGTGGGTGTTGGACTATGGCAATTGTCGTAAGTGAGGAAGAACGTGTGCAGATGTAGATTGAGCCACGGGTGCATCAATGCATGTGCAATTTGTATGAGCAATTGAGTGCATGGAACCTTATTTATGGATCTTGATTATTTATATATTGTATTATTTGATTTTGTTGATTTCCCCCACAAACCATATTTAAAATAAAGATTTTAAAAAGAAAAAGGAAATCAATACTGGAAGGCCAATGTATTCTTATCTTCAATGTATTCTGATCATTGCTACTGCATCAGTCTAAAATAAATAGTCGTTTCTGTGTGAGTTCTTTTCTACCTGTGCGTTTTTCTTTTTTTTAAAAAAAGAACTTAAAACTCCCTGAATCAGCAAATCAGTACTGAAAGATGAACCCCTCCTTATCTTAATAGCTGGAATGGCAGCAACACAGCAGTTTGTTTTATAACTGCTAGTCTGTAAGTGGGGTGTCACAGAACCTCAACACATTAGTGATTCATTAAAAAAATAAAATAAAAATACAATCTTCTGATGGTGTCAGCAAGGGTAACTAAATAAGGAACAGTTATCACCTACTTATCTTAGTTACAGCATAAAAAATAAAGCTACTATTGTGTTACGTGTAAGTTTACAACAGCACTTTTAAAAAGTATGTATTGGGGTTAGGAAACTAGTTATGGGTACCACACCAGATCTGTGTAGCGCAGCAGACTAGGCAGAGTGATGAGTGTCGGCGCTTGAATCCCAGGCTCAATCAAACTAACAAAGCTTTAGGCAAAACATCATTCATTCATTTATTACATCATCTGTTTACATAGCACTTAATTGTCTGTAAGTGGTGTGCGAGTAACTCAGTACAAAAACAAAATGATAAAATCAGAATCCAGTTTAAAATAAAAGTATTCAGGAGGTGCCAGAAGTTCAACTGACTTCAAATGGAAGGGAGTTTCATTTCTCAGCCTTGCCTACCTCGCAGTGTTGTGAGCGGGAAGGGACCTGGAGTTTGTTGCTATCTCTAGCCTGCCAAAGAGTGTTCCCCAGCTGAAAGGCTAACAGCTACACAACGATGGCCATGGGCTAGAAAAACAGCTGCTGTAAGCCTAAGCTCCCTCAACCCAGATTGCTCCACAGAAAAGGGCTGAAACGCCTTTTAGGGGACAGAGCCTTGGTGGACTGTGGGCCATGCACCCACTTCTCCCAGGAACACAAAGTTCAAGCAGCTCCTAAAATCAGCTAAACATGTTCGTTACCTTGAACAGCTAACCCAGCCAGGTGCACTGCTTGCTCAAACGTGCATGGGATGCTTCCTTCCAATATGTCTTTCTTCAATTGTAGATAATACTGGTATCTATTATGGAAAGAGAACATGCATTCAGGGCAATTTTCCGAAGCCTGTGAATATAGAGGTTGATGGATTCCCATCATCCTTAGCTAGCATGGCGAAGGTCAGGGATGACTATAGTTATAATTCAGCAACATCTGGAGGTGACCCAACCCTGTTTTATGCTTGAGCAATTATATTCTTTCCTGCTTGTCTGGGCAGCAGGGTGACACTATGATCACCCTCTGCAGACAGCATTTTGGGTTTGGGTGTGTAACATGGAGTCTGGGCACAGGGGTCAGACTGGTGATTCTGACCGTGTGCTGCCAAACACACAACCTAGTCGCATTTCTAGCTACAGTTGGAGGTGGTCTGGAACTTGGGAGCATCCTGACTTTTTTGCGGGGGGGAGATCCACTCCTTAGCATCCACGCTAAGGAGAAGAATAGAGGGACTACCCTGTATCACACATAAAATGTGACTCCCCCACCACCAGCACCCTCAATCAAAAGGAGCGTACTTTATTTGCAGGAGAGGTTCACTTATGGGACAAGATAAAACGTATCTACACCTGTGTCATAGTTAAGAACTCAAATAATAAAATTTTCTAAAGGTGGGGCAAGAGTGCATATTTTACCTTGTCCTTAATCCTAAATCCAATATCCTGGTTCGACCTAAGTAGTATTACTGACAAACTAAGTTTTCTGTTTAGAAGAAAAGTTTTTAGAAGCTGTTTTCATGGTGATTTTAGAAGAAGTTTTCATGGTGCGGCTTCTGACGGGAACCTACACCTAGAGTGTAACACCGTGCACTAATATAATTTACCTGCCTGCTACACCTTTTTGGTTAATTAAAATGAAAAGCTTATAGTGAAGAAGAAGAAGAATAATTTGGATTTGATATCCCGCCTTTCACTCCCTTTAAGGAGTCTCAAAGCGGCTAACATTCTCCTTTCCCTTCCTCCCCTACAACAAACACTCTGTGAGGTGAGTGGGGCTGAGAGACTTCAGAGAAGTGTGACTGGCAGCTGCATGTGGAGGAGCGGAGACGCGAACCTGGTTCCCCAGATTACGAGACTACCGCTCTTAACCACTACACCACACTGGCTCTCTAGTGAACACGGGCAGACCTTAACCTCAACAACCTACATCATGCTCACTGTTCTGAAAAGAAGATAAACACAGAAAACTACAGGCTGAAAAGTGCCAGGTAAAGATAGCTAAAAGATGCTCCCTCCTCATTGCAGAACATGGCAGGCATGCTTGCACCACTCACCTGGTAATCTCCTGTTGAAGCTGGGAGACAGAAGGCACATAAAACACCACACCGAAGAATACAGTCGGCTCCAAGGCATATTTGTCCAGTTGCTTTTTCAGAGGCTTGTCTAAGTCTATCCACCGGCGCTGGTTTTGCTTGTTGAAATACCAGAGGCTGAAATAAGTGATCTAGGAGAAAAGGGCAAAAGGAAGAGCTCAGTTATTCCAAAGTAAAACCTGTAACACTTTGCAGTTAATTTATTATTATTATTATTTATTAAAAGATTCCATCCCACCCTTCCTCCCAAAGGAGCCCAGGGGGGGAAAGCAACAAAGCAGAAAAGCAATACAATTAAAATAAAATCAGTTTCTACAGTGGTGCTTCCCAAGCTTCTGCTATTTGAGGAGTACATTAATAATAATAATAATAATAATTTTTATTTATACCCCGCCCTCCCCAGCCAAGGCCGGGCTCAGAGCGGCTTACAAGCAATAATAAAAACAAGTTGAATGATTAAAACTTAAAAACAAAATTAAAATACAACATTCAAATATTGAAACATTAAAATATTAAAATGTAGCCTCATCGCAGGAGGAGAAGGAAAGGAAAAAAGAAAGAGGGAGGGAATCAAATTGGCTCCAAGCCAAAGGCCAGGTGGAACAACTCTGTCTTACAGGCCCTGCGGAAAGAAATCAGATCTTGCAGGGCCCTGGTCTCATGAGGCAGAGCGTTCCACCAGGCTGGAGCCAGTGTTGAAAAGGCCCTGGCTCTGGTTGAAGCTAATCTAAGTTCCTTAGGGCCCGGGACCACTAGGGTGTTGCTATTTATGGACCTTAAGGTCCTCCGTGGGGCATACCAGGAGAGGCGGTCCCATAGGTACGAGGGTCCTAGGCCATGAAGGGCTGTAAAGGTCAAAAGCAGCACCTTAAATCTGACCCTGTACTCTACCGGGAGCCAGTGCAGCTTGAAAAGCACTGGCTGAATATGCTCCCATGGCAGAGACCCGTGAGGAGCCTCGCTGCAGCATTCTGCACCCGCTGGAGTTTCTGGGACAGCTTCAAGGGCAGCCCTGCGTAGAGCGAATTACAGTAGTCAAGCCTGGAGATGACCGTATTATTAGGATTATTATTATTATTATTATTAAGGATAACAAAATTAATGGCACATTTCATTCCAACACCAGACTAAAACAAGGCCAAAAAAATCACCTCCCCTCTGGGGAACCAGCAGCAGAGCACATGTTGTGTACAGAAATCCTGAAGAGTTGCTGACAGTCAATATACTGTATTTTTCAGTGTATAAGACGCCCCCATGTATAAGACAACCCCTATTTTTTGAGACCAAAATTAAGAAATAAATATTTTAAACATTCCGTTTATAAGTCGACCCCCAGTTTGAAACTTTAAAAATTTGGGGGGAAATATAGTCTTATACATGGAAAAAGACAGTATATTGGGGGGGGGCTATTGAGTTATTTTTGTTTTTGTTTTGATTATGTATTTTGTGTTTTTATATTGTGATTTTATCCTGTGAACCACCCTAAGACCTGCAGGTATAGGGCAGTATACTACTACTACTACTACTACTACTAATAATAATAATACAATACTGAGCCAGAAGGACTAGTGGCCTCATTTGGCTTATGAGGCAGCTTCCAGTGTTCCCACCTGCTCCATTTCTGCAAGAGTCACTGATCTGCGCATTCTCACGGAGCAGTATAACTCATCAGGCAAAGATGCATGGCAACCCTGCTACATCCGAGAATGATCAAATTATATCAGCGCAATGATGTAGCAAGATGGCCAGTCCCCAATGACAGCTGATTGGCAGGAGACCAGACCAGAACAGTGGATCTGTATCTTCTTCTTTGGTGATCACTCGCAGCCGAGTAAGATTTTCTGTAAGTGACTGTGGAGGCCAATTCTGGATCCACACGTCCTTCCACAGTGGGGACATTGGTTTCCGGGCGGGAGCTGATCACGGTGTGGATTTGCCAAGCATGCCTTCCTCTTAGCACGTTTCTCCCTTGCGCCCTGAGTTCGAGTGTCTGCAAAGCCCATGACACCCTCTCCTGTTGGTAGGAACTTTAGTTTCATGGGATTCTTTTAATTAATGCATTAATTGCTTGTAGCACCCCAGCAATTTTCTCAAGGCATACTAGTGTGCCTTGGCATACAGTTTGGGAGTCACTGGCACTTGATCTTGCTTGAAGTTATGATAATGCTTCTTACACAAAGCTGCCATCACTGTAGGTGATCTCTATCTGCCCAGGTGCTAATGCATTTAGCAGGCTTGCCGGTTATAGTAACAAATGTGGGCTACCACTGCTAATCTTTCGGCTCTGTGCCATGATTTAAGCTGGCCACTGAGACATTTTGGTGTTTGAGCAACTGATGCTGAATTATCACCATCCTTGCAGCAAAGGCCAGCTGTTCCGCCTGGCCTTTGGTTTGGACTCAGTCTGACCCTTATGTTTCCCTCTTCTTATGGTTTTGATCTATGGGCTACTTTTAAAATGAGGCTGCATTTTAAATTGCATTTTAACCTGTATTTTAAATTGATTCCCCCCCCCCTTTATGTTTTTACTGGAATTTTACTGGTGTTAGCCGCCCTGAGCCCAGCTCTGGCCCTGGAGGGCGGGGTATAAATGAATTTTATTATTATTATTATTATAAAGACCAGCTGCTTCATATATGTAATCACATGCAAAATGTACCCCCCCAAAAAACCAAATAGTGAATGGTGAGATATAGCATGGGCTCCTGTCACATGATCCAAAAAAAAGAGCAGTGCTCCTGAGTCACTGGGAATAGTGCCTTGGTTTGCAACTGTTGGAAACGCCATGAAAATGTGAGAGCTCCTTACTGTCCTATTAGATTGCACCCACTAATGTGAATATAAAAGATAAGAGCTAATGCTTTACTTTATAAGAAAATAAGCCCATTTTTTATTGGTTCAGATTTTCTAGCTGAAATGGCAGTTCTCTGCCTGCCAGAGATTGCAATCTAAATGTAGACATGTGTGCATGGGAAGGGAGGGAGAGGCAAGCAAAAGAAGGGATGAATGTGAATGTTATTGTGGTTCCTTTTCTAGAGATGTGCCATTCATATGTTATGGTTTGCTATGCTAATGCTAACAACAAACAACAACAACAGCGTATGCCACTGTTGTGCCAATACTGGATTGATAACAAGCTTGCCCTCCCCTTTCTAACTTGCACAAAACGTAACAATTGATGCTGCCACTATAAAATGGACACAATCTAAAGTACATACAACAGAATGCTGTTTACCCCTTTGGCTTTACAGAGAAAAAGACCAAATTCAGACAACCAGAAAGTTCTAGTGTTTCAGTTCTAGAGCTCCTGAGATGGGAGAAGCGATTCCCCGTAGAATTGGGATAAAATGTGCTGTTTCCAGCTCACACGCACGGCTGCAAAGGTATATTTCAGTTTCGCAAGCTCTTGGTGGCGTTCAGGCATCCTGGAGCACTGATGCTGAATGGGCTAAAAGCGAATCACTTTGTAATCACGGCTAAAGCTATCCATAGCACAAGAGATTACCTAGCCCTGCAGAAACGACATGACATAACTCTTGAAATATGTTAAGCTTCTGAGATTAACACTGTTGCAAGGTTTATTTATTTTAGCAACTTACTCATCATTCAACCTCCGGGCAGTAAATCAACCCTAGACAGAAAGGACCGTGGATTTTCTACACAGTTATGTTCCAGCTAATTGCCCTCTTTGTTAGATGTACAAGAAACAGCAATATTATTGAATGTGCATGGAACATCTGAAAAGGTGGGGAGGAAGGGTAGCACTCAACCCTGTAACTAATACAAAATATATGTGGGGAACAGAACACCGAAGTAAGGAAATCTGAGCTGCAGGGGCAAAGAAAGATTTCCCTCAAAAGAACAGTATTTTTTTAAAACTAGGCAAGACTGACTTGGGCCAGTACTCCAAAGAGAACATTATAAAGTTCTGAATATTCGTCATGCAAATACATTGCATATGGGACTTCCCCAGCTGATATAATAGCAGAATAATTATCTCTGGTCTCTCTAGCCAACTGCCAGGACACACCAAAGGAAACATGAACTTCACTTAATTTCAACGGGATTTAGGCAAGTGTTTATATCCTAACCGAGGGTGGCATTTAAGTAAGTTCCATTCAGAGTAGAACCACTGACGTTATTGGACCTTGACATATCCATTGATTTCAATGGGCCTGCTCTGCTGAACACTGGAAACAACCCCCCCATCTAGGATGGTCCATGCATCATGGGGTATCAAGGCTATGGAAGCTCACACTGTCTTGTATACCATGCCACAACCTCCAGCGCTTGTGATATGGATGCACCAGGGTATGTGTAATAGATGCGATAAATAAATTGATACGAGACCAACACAACATAACCATCTAAAGAGCACACATCAGTAAATGCTAAATTCAGATTTCAAAATTACCTAGGCACACCAATAGGTACCAAAACTATGAGCATATGACTCAAAACCATGAAATTTAGTATTCACATAGTCCAAAGAACTTTGATGAGAAGTAAAACGCAAAATTATTAGATCTCTCTTCCTTGAAACTGAGAACATGAATTGTTGCCGAATCCGGTGAAGACACTTTTATACTACCCAGACAGCTGAAAATCTTGCAGCAGATTACTTCGTAACAGTAATCCAAAACACCAGATGCCCGGGACTGATTGACTCAAGCTGTCTCAGATGCAGAGGGCGGTTTAGCAATGGCAGTCAAGAAAGACGCCCCTCATAGCACCTACAAGCAGCTCTAAATTCAGCAGGCCAGACTAGTGATTATCTCTCAATAAAGTCCTATGTCACCTTTGCAACTTTTTGAAAACGTGGTCCCCATTCTGGCAGAAGAGATTTCCAATTATCCTGACTGTTCTGAGTCCAGCTTTCCACTTCTATTGAACAAAAGGGCTATGTGAGAAACTGCTACCAGACAACTCCTGGATTTGGGGGAGGGGGGGAAATAGTGAAATATAGTGATAGATGCACGAAGGGACTGGTTTTGAAACTTTACCAACTTCTCTTAAAATCTGAGTCCAGATGGTCTCAGAATAATACAAGGAAAAGAGCTCAGCCTACGTTACAAGGTTGAACAAGATATGTGGAACAAACACCCCCTCCACTGTATCCCAGCGAGAGATGGGAAATTGTGGTTAAAATGAGTGCATAAATGGTGCTCAGCACCATGCAAGTTGCCTTATGCGGTTCCCTCATCCCCACCAAGGTGCTGGAGGGACTGCCAGGTTTCCACTACTCATCGTCAAAGTGGGATTTGTCCAAAGTCCAATGATAGTTTTCAAGAAATTGGTGCGATAACAGATCACCACGCTATGCCTACTGCTTGGGTAGCTCTCCTAAATTTGTTTGAGGAAGAAGATATGGGTTTGTACTTTAAAGAGTTAATAATTCACCTGCCTGCAGAAGCACAGGTGACTACAGCCCAGTTTTAGAGGAATGCTAGGGTATGGTAAACAGCCTTTTTTGAGGGGAAATAACTTATAAGCTAAGCGTTTTATGAGGTCAAAGTGAGATTGTTTCCCCCCACAATTCGGCATAAGTTTCTAACCTACAGTAGAAATACAGAACATAGACAATTTCTTCCATTCACCTTCAGAAGGAACTGGTTGATTTACGTGGTAGTATTCTTCATGGAAATGTTTCTTTGCTTATTTAAGTTATTTGCCCTACACAATTAAGTGATGACTGCATGTGGAACGCCCTCCCATCAGATGTCAAGGAAATAAACAACTATCTGACTTTTAGAAGACATCATCGAAGGCAGTCCTGTTTAGGGAAGCTTTTAATGCTTGATGTTTTATCGCATTTTTAATATTCTGTTGGGAGCTGCCCAGAGTGGCTGGGGAAACCCACCTGGATGGGTGGGGCCTAAATAATAAATTATTATTACTATTACTATCATAACATTGATGCTTGTTAATGTTAAGACAAAGTCTGAATTTTTCCTAAGCAACCCATTTTAGTTCTGGATTCAGACTTTGCCTGAAGCAGAGACACGGTCCTTGTGAGCAATCCTACAGCTTTGAAATGGAGATCAGTTTTGTCACCTTTTAACGCGAATGAGCAATTCACAAACAGGTCTGGTCACAATACTTACGTTGGAGCCAATTTTATTCCAAGTGGAACAGGCTTCCGTCCAAGTCTTTTTAATTAGTGTGTGGATCATAGCCTATGCCATAAATCCACGATGCAATAGTGTTTGATGTAGCAATCACACTCACACTGACTTATTACCTAATTAGCTATGTGGCAGATGCATGTTCTAAAAGATTATCTTTTAATTAGCACCAGCCCATCAGACAAATGAGACATTTCTCTAGGGAGGCAAGATTTGTGAGAGTATCTGCAAATTTCCAGACACCAGAATCTAAAGAGACTGAAAATTTGCATCTGGGGCCATCTGCTTGCACATACTTTTCATTTCCTGTTTCTGGTGACAAAGATGCTCAAGTTTGGATCGTGTTGGTCTTGCCACGGTCAACCAGGTCATACAGCTAGGGTGCTGGACTTCACTTTTAGTTTCACCATCCTGTGCACCATTTTCACCTGTGGTAAGTTGGTGGCTATCCCTCTTATCTTCTGTTCCTCAAGAGAACTCTCAAGTCTGAGAACAAATCACCCTCAGTGGCTCACTTTGCTAGGCCTCAGCTGCAGCCCAAGGTCTCCTGGTTTTGTGGCCTGATGCTTAGCACAAAAGGGCCATGCTAGGCATTTCACATAACTATGTCTCTTTTTTACTCAATGTAATGTCTTTTTTCTAAAATGAGGGGATGGGGAACATAGCCTTGCAAGGCTGTGATCAGAAACGCAATAGCAGAAAATGAGGTATTGCTTAACCCTTTCCCCTTCGGCCACTTTTCCATTAAATATTGCCCCTGTGCTGTCTTCATATCCCTTTGGGGTAGAAATATGGGGAAATGGGGGCTGTTTTGGATGTAGACCATAACTTATTGTTGTGTGCATAAGCAACATGAAGAATCAAGCTCACATACTCCCCTGAACATACTCTCTTCTTCTGCTGTAACAACAAAGAAATTGGAAGTATCCACTTATAAAATAACTAGAGTTCCCTGTTGTGTTAGAAAAGAAGGAAATCATTGTTAGTTTCAACTGTAGCTTGATAGGCCAGGATAATAAACCACGGTTTGACCCAGGCTTGCCTGTGTTTAAACTAGAGTTCTCCCTCAGTTCAAAGTTAGTTATCTGAAGAGCCAATCTTTTCACAGCTTCACCAAAGGAGTAAAGAAGACAGACCAGAGAGCAGGATGTACACCAAGCTGAGGCTCACTGCTGCTTATGCACATAATGCTAATTTATAGCTTGACACCATGTGCAAAATGGGCATGTATCTTCACTCTTGAGGGAAGAAAATCTTTGTGGCAGTGGCCCAAATAATGTTAGAAGAGGAAGGGGTTGTGCAGCCCGTTGCCTCCTCTACTCCTGATCACAATCTTCCAGGGCAGCTTTTTATCTATAAAAAGAGAGAGAGAATTAAAAAGAAACATGGAACTTGGCGTCCTGTCTATAGTTCGACACTGAGTATAAAAGGCTTTTGGATGCATTTTTGCAGGGAGTGTTCAGTCTCTTGAACACACTACGTTAGCAAAATTTGCTTGTGCTCCATTCAATCATCTCTGTACTCTGCCCACACTGACTCCTGGAATTTAATGAAGGCGCATTTACCACTTGGCCTCTTAGCCAGGGTGTGTCAAAACCAGATTGTATTTACATTCCCTGCAATTCACATTCTGCAAATAGCACAATACATGTGCCTTAGCCTACCCTGCTTTAGGAAACTAGCTTTTTCCATCATGTTTACAGTGCACAATAATTTTTAAAAGTGGAGGGGGGGAGGGAGACTGGACCAAAAGCAAAGCTTTCAACATATATAAGGTGACATGTGGCATTTTTAAAAAAATCTATTGCATAGAAACACAACCTTCAGGGCTGAATTACGTCAGATGAACAGGCACATATTATTTTACATAACATATGCAGGTTTCACTGATGGAGAAAGAACAACTGAGGAGTGGTGTGACTTTGGTTAGATGGCAAAGTGGTACAGCAGTTGTAGAAGAGAAAGAGGCAGAAAAGGACAGACTGTTAAGAGAAACTATTCCATGTTTCATCCTCTCCTAAGCCTTCTGCAAGTAATGACTAAACTATTCTCCAAAACCATAAGGACTAGACCAGGGGCAGCTAGCATGGTGGCCTTCCAGATGTTGATGAATTACAATTCCCATCATGCCTGACCACTGGCCACACTGGCTAAGGCTGATGGGAGCTGTAGTCCAACAACATCTGGAGGACACCATGTTGCCTATCCCCTGCACTAGACCATTGCATTTTCCTTTTAACACCCTGGAAGTTGAATGGATTCTAAATTTTGTGCCAGCCTACCGGACTAAATGCTTGTGCAATAAGCCCCAGGGATATCTGCCGCCTTCTGGCTCAGTCTCTAATCTCGGTTGCTTCCTGTTACTGCCCTGGCTTGCTTCCTCAAGCTCCCTGCTCCATCCTCCTGCCCTACTGCCCTCATTCTCCCCTCCTGCACTTTCCTTGCTCTTTTCTCTTAGCTCCAACGTCAACTTGCTCTGGCAACTCTTGTTCCCTGCCTCTTGGTGTCGGTGCCCCATTCAGTGAATTTTAACCCCCCATTTATTTCTCCTTAGGTTGTCTTCTCAGCATGGGAGACGATGCAAAATACTTCTTTGCATCACGGTAGAAGTTCCTGTGGAGGCCCTCCCAGCAATAGTACTGTCCGTCCCAGAAAGGAGGACATTACCGGAGAAGCTACCATGGCCCATGTGGACTCATCTTGCTACAAAGATAACTCAAGGATGCCTTACAGACAGCAAAGAACAAAGGAGGCAAGGTCAGAGACTTGTTGCTGTAATCACTGTGTGGTATAGTGGTTAGGGCAGGGGAACCAGATGTTGTTGGCCTCCAATTCCCATCAGCTCAAATAAGCAAGGCCAGTTGTCAGGGATGAAGGAAGCTGTAGTCCATCAACATCTGGAGGGACGTAAATTCCCCAGCCCTGGATTAGACTGTTGGAGTAGGCCCCCAAGAAGACCTGGGTTCAAATTAAGTTGTGACGCTTAGAGACAAGGGATGGCAGCAGCAGCAACTGACTGGAGGACTCCCAAGGAGAGGGGAGAGGAAAGGAGGCTGAGGGAACACTCCACAAGAGAGGGTGTTCAGAAAAGGGTGAGAGGCTGCCAGCTCTGCAGGCAGGGGCTCCTGAGCCCCACAGGGATTCTGCAGAAAGAATGAAGTTGATTAAGCGAGCCGTGGACTCAAAAAGGTTATAAAATATATACCTTCCCAGGATCCTTGGAGAAAGGCTGGGATAAAAATGGAATAAAAAAATTACAGGCAAGACCTCTGGTGGCTTTATGGCTGAAAATACAGGCCTGAGGTGGTTGCCTCAGAAGCAACCCACACCTGGAATGTGGTAAACAGTCTTCCAAAATTATGTAATATTTAAAGTGGACATAACTGCCTCAACGTTTCAGATAAAAAAAAATTAACAGCACTGGAAGCAAAACAACATGTTTTCAGTTTGCCAAGAATATTATTTTCACACTTAGTGAGAGCTGTTCTCTACCTTATCTCTGTTTCCTTTCCTTTCCTATCCCATCCCATTCCATCATCGCTCTGCTTCCTTTTTTTTGCTGCACAAGTATTTATTTGTCAAAATAATCTGAACAACGATATGTTCTGGAAAGCGTGAGGAAGCCTGCTCAAATTCAGCAGTCTAGTTTGCACTCCCTAGATCTGATTTACTAACCTCACTTCATGGAGTTCCTGCCATTTCCCAAAATATTTCAGAACCCAAATTAAAATGGAAAAGAGGATCAGGTAACTGGAGTGTCCTCCACAAGGGGTGCATGCACTGGTCAGTGCCAGAAGAGGTTCCTTAGCAAGGGCAGGATCTACCGCTAACAGTTCAAGCATAAATGATATTCTCTTAACTTTGCCGCAACAGCCATCTCTACTCAGATACATTCAAAGCAGGCCAGACCCTTCACTCAGCAACACTAGCTATGCCACTGCTGCCATCCCTCGTAATTCTGACTCTGTCCTAGATACCAGAAGCACAGATCAGATAGGGAAAAATATCTGTGGGGTAGTGGTTAGAGCAGGGTAACATTTCCTTGCGCACAATCTGCTGAATGCCACATAGCAGTGGTTGGCAGAGCTGCAACAGGTGTTGACAGGACAGGAGCCAAAAGTGGGTGGGGACCTGCTTTTCTTTATTTCTCTGGCACCCTTTCCTCTCTCTCACCACACTTATAAAATGGAAAATAAATGGAAGAAAAACTTAAGGGGTCAACAGTGCTAATGTAAGTCCATGAGGAAATATACGTGCAGGCAAGATGCTTGCTCGCAGGCATGCAAAATCTCCGTCAACAACCGGACGCCTTGAGCTGACTCATCTTGAACTCCACTTTCGCTGCACACAGTGAGGGCCACTTTGTGAGAGATATGAAGGAAGAAAAAGCATGCCCCGTGCCCCACGTGGAGCAATGTGCAAGCGTTTGCTTCGTTACAGAGAACGGGACTGATCCACGTGCACACACAGTTCAAAACAGAGCACGCCGCACCAAGGTAACTCCAGTTTGGCACTTTGAAAAGTTGGACCCTGCAACTTTGTGATCCAAATGAAGCACATTGCTGCTGCTTCCTTTGCCTCCTCCATTTGGCATGACTTGTTGATGCAGGATGATGGGAGCTGGAGTTCAACATCTGGAGGGCCACCCCATCCGTGCCATAGGGATCTCAGGTAACAAGGCTGGGAGAGATCTTGGAGTGCTCCCGCCAGCCAGAGACAGGGGCTAGACAGACCAGTGGTCTGACTCAGGGCCATTTCCTATTTTCATGTATCTTCAGGACTCTTCCAATTTAGTGGACATAGAAAGGCAAGAGCTCCAAGCGCAGAAAGAGTTCCTGCCATTGTTTTGCACATACACGCTGTTTTTACAACAAGCCAGGATGGAGTAACCAAAAGTCTTTGCCTTCTAAAGTACAGAATGCAGCAGAAATTAGCAGCATGTTTTTAACGAGATTTCAGGGGCTGAGCAGTATTGGAGAAGGCAATGTGTCTTTTATTATACTTTTATCCCACACAACATTAAAAAAAAGTTCAAAGCAGCTTACACTGATCATTACATCATATTTTTATTTGCATGTTGAATGTAGCTGCTTTGAGGGTGAGTGAAGTAGCAAAGTGATATATAAATTCCAACAGAAATTTAAAAATTTTTATTTTTGATTTATCTTCACCTTTTAGGTGACCACTTTCTGCTTCTGAGGAAGCAGGATCTTATCCAGAAATCTCTGTGCCTAAATGTTTTTGTTAGTCTTCAAGGCGCCACAAGACTGTGTTGTTTTGGCTGCAACACAGATTCAACATCGATATACCTGTGGAATTTATCTCTCATTTGCACAAGCCTGTTTCTGTGCATGTACATGCTGACAAAGAGGACTGCATGGTGTGACATGTTCACAGGAAGGAACAGAACTGCTTTGAATGCTAAGATCCCAAGTTCAATCCCTGGTTCCAAGTCCTGACCCAAACCCAAACCCTGGCATCTCCAGTTAAAAAGAATATGTAATGGGAAAGGTAAGGCCTGCCCAAGACATTTAGCCGCCTGAGGTTAAAGGCAAGATGGAGTCCTGCCGTTGCCTCCATACTAGGAACAGAAGCCAGCTAGACTGGCAGCTGAATCTGACTTTGGCACTGGTGACTGAATAGCTCCTCCCCTACAACTGAGGGCAGCTGGCCGGTTTAGGGGGTGCATATGTCCCACACAGCTCTGTCCTCCAAAGAAGGGAACTGCCCCCCAATATCTGCTACCTGAGGCAGTTGCCTCATTCTGTCTAACAGTGTGTCTGGCTTGGTCTCTACCCACTCCCCTGCAAAGCTGCTCCCTTCCAGCGTAGGCAAATAGTCTCTCCAAGCATAAGGCAGCTTCCTATGTCCCTGAAAAGGAACCCCTGAATGGTGCCTCCATCTCAGGATGGAAAGTCCTGCAAGCCTGCCACCACGTTCCCTACCTCTCGAAGTTCCAGCCTCTGTGCCACGGCCTCCAGGCTTTCCTGCCCGGTGCTCTCCACCGACAGTGTAAATTCCACAAACTCATTGTTAAGCAACTGGATGCGGGCCACCAAGCAGCTCTTGCTAGACACTGTGTAGCGTCGAGTTCGTTTCAGCTTCAGCCCGAAAGGCAGAGGCATTTTCTTCCCTAGCACATTCACAAGAAGTCACCGAAAGCCTTCCAGGAATGCCTTGCCTCCCACGAATAGTCAGGAGCTATGAAGTCCCCAGATGATCAACCGGCAGCTGCAGCAGCAGCCATCAAAAAGTGGCAGGTCCTCCTCCAAGATCTGAGCAAAAGAAGCATTGACGAAAATTCTGCGGAGGGAGAAAGCAAAGAGGAGTTTACGTAAAGAGATGGGTTTAGCTCACAATGTCCATTCACATTTGGCAAGCTTAGCCTGAAAAAAAAGTATAGCTTGTTTTTTTCAACACAGAAAATTCCTCAACTCTCAGAGCCTTTATATCAAGCACAGGCAAACTCGGCCCTCCAGATGTTTTCAGACGACAACTCCCATCATCCCTAGCTAACAGGACCAGTGGTTAGGGATGATGGGAGTTGTAGTCCCAAAACATCTGGAGGGCTGAGTTTGCCTATGCCTGCCTTACGTGATCTCAGGAATCCTTACAACAAACTTGTTGGCTCAGCCAATATTATTAGCCCCATATTACAGGTGGGGAAGATGAAGGTTGAGACTGAGAATATAGGGCTTATCTATCCCTCCCCAATAAATACATGGCTTAGATAATTAGGTGGAATTGGGAACTTTCTCAGCTCACATTTGTAGCTACTACACAAACTCTCTTTAAGATTTACTAATCTGTGTTGGTGTAACAAGTATATGTTGTATAGATAAAAGGGTTTTGCAACTAATGGTATTTTTTTAAAAAAACAACCATGTTCTATATGGAAATTAGAGACATTTATGGAATAGCAAACTACAAGATTAATGTATATTTTAATTTATTGGGCAAGTACCATATCAATTCCATATTTTCTACAGCATTCAAATGCACAGCTGAAACTAAACACATGTTAAAATAGTAGGAGTTATGCACGATGTATAAAATCAGGAGAAAAGGGGTTCAGGCAAGCAGAACTGCAATTGGTGATAACTCCTCTGGCTAATTTACTTGCTAGGCTGTTTGTACCTCTTCCTGTTCCCTCACTTTTGCTCTCATCCACTGTTCCTCTCCCACCCACTTCAATCCTATCACATTGCCTCAACCCCTTTAAACTGCTGCCAGAACTGGTAGACTGGCTGTGTGACAGGCAGAAACGCAACAGGCACAGCGTATCATCATGCATCGTTACTTTACATCTCCATGCCAAGAAAAATGAAACATGTTGATTTATTTATTTTTACAGAAAAATTGTATTGGGGGAGGCAGCTCTAAACTCTTTTCAAAACCAAATTCTAGCAGAGGCTTTCCTAAATCATCCTAGCAGTACCTAGTGCAGATTGCAAGCCTTCTTCCGTGCAGAAATAATGCCTGTTCTAAACAGAGCCTAACATAAACCTGGCGCTAAGCATAGGATCACTACTAAGTTTAAAGGATGCCGCAAGAATGTAACAGAACCTTCCTTCATGTTAATTCTGTGTGGTCTTAGACATCATGACTTGGAGGTTGAAAAAAAGTGATTCCACATATACAGTCTTCCCCCTCCACAAACCAACACACTTTACTGTGAAAACATACAAGAAAGCATTACAAAGCCAACTAGAAATGGCACCTTCATTCATTCATGAATAAACAATACTTACCCCACTAATACTACAATCCATAGCTTTATGCATTTTGCAGCAGTTCTATTTATGACTCTCCTAGAATAATGAGTTTCAGGCTTCACTCTGATTATTCTCTCGAAATATTTGTGAAGAATACAACCCATTTCTTGCTTATAAAGTCTACTGAGGAGGCTCTCATTTAGTTCTCCATTGCAGACAGCTGTAGTGCTTTATCCATGGGATAAACAGTTACAACTACATTTTAAAAGATGAAGCACTCTTTCAAAACGTTTGACTTTTAAACTAGTCTCCTCAGCCTCAGCACTGACCAACCTGCACTACAATTCTATACATGTCTGCTCAGAAGCAGGAGCAAACTCCAAGGTTAGAGGGCATATACTGTACTGAATTTTGACATTTTAGCAAACCTTTGGTGGTCTTTATAATAATAATAATAAAAAGATTTGTGAACGTTAGGAATCTGCATGGAACAATCCAAAAAGTTAAGCAATTTTGCTTGCACTGATTCCAATGGAAGAACGAAGCAATGCTTAAAGTCTAAACCTTCAATCTTATGCACGCTTAACTCCTGGTTTTCAGTTAAATTAGTGGGATTCACTTCTAAGCAAAACTGGATGAGATCAGGCTGCCTTGTGCCCATTATGTTCAAAGTCCATCAGATTTGCTCTAACATTTGCTTTGACTTCATAAGCAAACATAAATTCTTCCCCCACCCCCCAATAATTTATAAGTCATGTTCATACATGGTGGGAATATTTCCTGAGGCTGCTCCAATGAGAATTCAGGACACTTTCCCCATACATTTTTATATACCGTAAATCATTTTCCAAGGGGAAAGCACATGCAGCATTGCTACACTTAAATACATTTACAGCAAAGGCAATTATAAAATGTCTTGGGGGAGAATAATGCTTCAAACCTATTCAACAAGTTTTCGTGCTGGCCAAGCACAATTCTTGCAAACACAGCACAACCAAGCTTTGTTTAGCAGCTGTTATTTTCTGCTACCAGCTGCTGTCATATTAGTCGTCCGTCCCCCGTCCGCCACCGCTGCCACATACGCCTGTTTCAAAATAATGTCTATCTGCACGATTAAGGGAGTTTGCATTCAGTAAGAGGATAGCACTTTAGTGCCAACACTAGCAAATCCAATCAACCATATGTTGAAATCATTGTTCCCTATTTAGCAGGTCTAGGAACACTTCAGATGTTATATTCTGATTTAGCCTACACTTTTAACTTAAGTATTAATATCAATATCAAAGACTCATATTTCCCCGCTTAACTTCTGCTACTTTCCTCTCCAGTTGCCCAGAAACTCCATACACGGCCAAAATAAAACTGGAGTGCACGGAAAGGAAAAGGGTTTTTTCCTTTGGGTTAATTATACATCAATCATTTTTAAAGGGGAAAATCCACAAAGCAAGATTATGTCCTCATTTTATTAATTAACCCCTGAAATCATTTGGAAGTGTGAATGTTATTGGAAATTGGGGGGCGGGGGTGTTAGGATGAAAGTTGCTCTGGGATTGAAAACTAGTTTGTTTATTCATTTGCTAGCCAAGTACAAGCAACCCACAAAATACCTTCCCTATTAATGCACGAAACTCTACCATCTCCACCACACTCCCTCCTTTTAACAACTGAACTAACAGCAAGCGTTTCACTGACAGCTGTACTAAGGGTAAAACAAATCATTTTGTTTGCAAAATATCCTTCTAACTTCTTACATCTAGTCTTATAATTCTAATGAAGGAAGCCTCGTGATATTATTATTATTAATACCCCGCCCATCTGGCTGCGATTCTTTATTAAGGGAGCGTTGCAGAAAACGGGGGGGGGGGTGCGTTTACGTTTTAAAGAAGGGTTTCAATTAAGACATACAGAAATGAACAAGGACACCGAGATACGAGACTCCTTGGCACTCGTCCTTTATCCTTTCGAGAGGGCGCCGCGATCTACTTCGCAGCCCGATCTTAACCAAGTTTTGCTCTGAACACCATCCCCAAAAAGGATGCCGAGGGCACCGATCCGCTCGCTGGGGGCTTCATTTCGCACTGCCGCCTTCAGAAGGGCGATTCAAGAAAAAGCGGCGAAGATCCTGAAACCCGGCGCTAGAAATGTGTAACAACTCTTTTAAAAAACAAAAACAGCATCCCCGCATCCCCCCCCCGCCCCGCCCCCTTTACCTGTTGCAGCAATTCAAGGACAGCGGACTTTTAACTGCAACCATCCAGGCGCAGTTTGGAGAGCAATCCGGCTGAAACCATTTCATGGGTATTCCTTTTCTTTTTTTTGAGGGGAGTGGAAAGGTCAGCAAGGCTTCTCGGGTCCCCTTTCCCTGGAAGAGAAGAGCCGCCTGCACCTCTCTGCTCCTCTCAGAGCGAAAACATTCCCCACTTCCTGCCACAACAACAACAACAACAGCGGAGGCGAGAAAAAACCGAGGCTGGAGCTCATTCCACGGGGCCGAGGAGGGAGGAGAAATACTACAGCCAAAGGAGGCTTCCCCTCAGCCAGCCAGCCGCCTTCCTGTGACAGAGGAAGCCCCCGGACTGCTGGAGCGCACACGACGGCCTCCCGCCCCCTCTCTCTCTCTCGTGCGCGCCCCCCCCCAGCCGCTTCGCTCCACGCCGCGCTTGCCAGCGGCCCGTGCGTGCGCCGCGAGAGCGCGCGGGGTTCTCTTTTCTTCCCTCTCCTGCCTTGCCTTCCTTTCTTTCTCTCTCTCCCCTCCGGAGGGAGGCGTTCCCCTTTGCTCCAGCCATGCGGAAGGATACGGCGCGCGGTCACTAAAGCACAGCCCTCTTATGTTTGCAGCCCCATGACCTCAGAGATGTGGAATGTCGGCCGGGGGAATGTCAGCAATGGGACAGCTGCTGCTCCAACGAGGAGAGGAGGGAGGGAGGGAGGAGGCGGCATGGCAAGAAAGGAAGATAAGGAAACTCAACGCCCGCCCGCCACGGCCGTGAAGCTCCCGTCGCTTTGGAACAACAACAGCGGCGGCGACAACGAAATAGTCCTCCCTCCCTCCAAAAATATTGAATTGATACAACCTCCCCGAGCTCGAGTCGTGTTAGCCTGCTGCGGCAAAAGTGTCTTGCCCATCAGTGGCATAGCGTGGGGGGTGCAGGGGGGCCCAGGCGCAACATCTGGGGGTTAGGGTTAGGGGGCGCAAATCCACGGGTTAGGGGGCGCAAATTACTTGCCTTGCCCCGGGTGCTGACAACCCACGCTACGCCACTGTTGCCCATGGAAGCTTACCAGGAATAATAGTAATCATCATCATCAGTGGTTTTTTCCTTAAAAAAATGTTTAGGGGTACTCCCATTTTGACTCAAGAAAATGACCATTTTATCGTTCACATGGGGGAAAATAAATACTGTACAGTACAAAGATTCGCAAAATGTTTAGGGGTATGCGTCCCCCCCAGAAAAAAGCACTGATGATGATAATAGTTATGTCTTGTCCTGAGGCGGGGTAAAGCTGGGAGCCTCCAAACATAGGAGCCAGCATCTAATTATTAATTAATTAATTATGCCCTGTCCATCTGGCTGGGTTTCCCAGCCACTCCGGGCAGCTCCCCAGAGAGTATTAAAAACATGATAATACATCAAACATTAAAGGGGGCCCACCAGGGGGCGCATTGGAAGATGGCCGACAATAACATCTCTCCGACCCACACGAGGTAATTAAGAGGCTGATATGGGGAGTATGCAGCCTCCCTTACCCCCCCCCCCAGGAGATGGGGGGGACTGCCTTGCCAGCTGTGTCCATAATTCACCCCCGGACTCGAAAGAAGGGGGTGTGGGCACTTGGCACGAAACCCTCGAGTGAGGCCGGCTCTTCCTGACGCTGTCTCTAATTCGCGCACTGGTTCGCATTAGCTCGAAAGATATAATTGGAAATATATAATTGGAAAGAAGCTAATGCACATACATCAAGTGAAGATCGGGAGTAAAGACTGCTGATTAATGGATCTCTGTGAGCGGAGCAACGGCCTGGACAAATAAATCAAGTGATAAATCATCATTAAAAGACTGGTATGTTGGAGTGAAATGGAAAGGGGGGGGAGGAAAAAAAATTTCTTTTTTTTGCCTTATGTGAGTATTAATAACCCTCCCCTCCAGAGAGAAGAATCGTTGCATTTTATTAATCACAAGCAGGAGTTCAAGAACTGTGTGGAATGAATTACTGATCAAAGAGAGGACTGGTAGAAACATCGGGGAACGGAGGAAAGTTTTATGACGCAGTTTCAAATGGCGTCTCGCTAAGACAGGCTTGCCTAAGAAGGGGGAGGGGGAGGAGGACCAGGGTCATCGGAATGTGAATGTATGGTTATCGGAATGTGATCTTGACCTGGCAGAGCCCCCTGAGATATGTTTGGCAAGCCTGGGGAAATCAACGGACAGACTGAGGGAAAATTCTTTACGGAGGTGTGGAAATGGCATCTGTCCTTTATGTGATATGATTTTTGGAGCGTAAAACCCACACAGAGGATGTTTGTTTTCAACCCGCTTGTGAAGATTATCAGAGATCGCAAAGAAAGGAATATATGATAACAACAAGAAGATGAGGAAAGTAACAAAGAGACTATCTGGACAGAACTGGATAGAACTGTTTAATTAAAGCAGCAACATGAGTGATGTTTGGACCCCTTTCGGAGCTTGAAGTATGGGTGCCCCTAATAAAAAATTTAAAATCTGGCTGTATAATTTGGAACTAATGTGATTTGGAAATAATGTGATTTGATTGGCCTGTTAATAAAAATTATATTAAAAAAAATACATCAAACATTTAAAAACTTCCCTGAACAGGCCTGCCTTCAGATGTCTTCTAAAAGTCAGATCTAAGGGCCAAGGTCCCTTCAGCCCCCCACTAAAATATTTGAGGGGATCAGGGGCCCCCAGTTGGGCATTGCCATTCAAATGGTGTGTGCCCGCCACATCATGTGATCGATTCTGCGGGTCAGAGCTTACCTCCCTCCCCCCATATTTTATTTAAGTTGGCAGCCCTTGGTCTCCAGATGTTGCTGGACTACAATTCCTATCATCCCTGATTACTGGGCATACTGGTTGGGGCTGACTGGAGTTCTGGAGACACCGGGGGGGGGGAATTATTGGGCACAGAAGGGGCAAAGTATATTTCTAGGTGGACGAGTTCCCTGCCACCCAGTGCCCCCTTTTCTGCCACACAGTGCCATCCAGGCTGGAGCCGGAGTCCAACAGCACATGGAGGACCACAAGTTCTGTGTGTTTACTTTTAAGGCATCAAAAGATGCTGTACAAGATGCACAAATTGATTCTTCGTGGAAACACAGGCGTAATGCAGACTGGTGACAAACTGGACGCCTGGCATCACTTGACGCAATAGTTTCCAGAGGGCATTAGTCCATTGCAGCAAAAGCAGCCACAGAGCCTTAGGGCACTATAAAGCAGAGACAAGGAACCCTGTGGCCCTCAAGGTGTAGTTGGACTCCCAGTTCCCATCTTCCCTGACCATTGGCCATGCTAGCTGGAGCTGACCAGGAGTTGGAGCCCAAGAGCTTCTGGAGGGCCATAGGGCCCCCCCACCTTTGGTAAAAGACTTGCAAATTTATTGTGGCATAAGGTTTTATAGACTAAAGTCCACTGCATCAGAGATATATGAAGTACTATCCTGGATTTACTCGTGATAATAACATACGGCATCTGATGGAGTGTACCCCAGCTTATGCCATAATAAATGTGTTAGTCTTTAAGGCAGCACAATACTCTGTTGTTTTACCATGACGGATGGGCTTTTGTTATGCCAGTGCTCCATAAATAAGTGTCAGTTTTTGTTGGCAAGCAGCCTACACTTTCGTCTTCCTTCCTTAGTTCTTAACAAAACAAGTTTAGCCATTCCTGGACATTTTTCTGTTTGTCTTTTTCTCAGTTAAGGGAGTTTCAGATTCCCTTCAATGCTTGTTGGTGCAGAGAATTTTTCCTGGGGTTATCGCACAGCATAACAATTCTCTCTGCCAGTTGCTTATTATTATTTTGGTATGTGTCAATAAAAGTGTATTTAGAGCATCAATGGCTAAATCTATTTCAGTTATTTTAATCCCTACCAATTCAAGCAAGCCCTCCAGACTGAATATAATTTATGCATACAGTTCTTGGAAATAATTTTTAAATGTGTCCTTGGGAGTGTTTTTTTAAAAAACACACCAAACAAACAAACACGGGTTGTGCAGAGTGACTGATGAATGAGCCTGGTTTAAAAATGCTTTAAATGGAGGACACATCAACACACAGCCATCCACAGGCTGGCTCAACCACAGCAAAATAACAATCTGGTTGTCTAGCAGCACTAAAATTCTCTGCAGGTTGTATTTCAGCTATGTTTTACTCACCCATTGAAGTTAATTGAGAACTTGAAAGCTCGCCACACTTTTGCAACATTTTGGCTGGTCCCAATAAAGGCATTGCCCAACTTTGGGGATTTGAAGTTTTTCTCATTCATATGCTTAATACTGACACTCTCAAAGAGCTCACAACCCTGAAGGATCTGAACTTCTCTTTGCAGAAGAGTTCTTCTTTATACTTAATGTAATCTGTGTTTAAACATGCTTCCTCCAATTTAGCTAGGAAAAAAAGTTAGCTTAACAAATATATTGGTTCACCCAGACTCTTTTTAAAAAAGGCATTAAGTTGGTTATTTTTTAACATGATATTTTAAACAGCATGCAAAAGGTAATGGGGGGGGGTGCATTCTCTGCTCCTCCCCATGTACTATGGAGGAAGACGCTGGAGTTTGCGGCTGTTGATGCATATCTCTGTGGTTGCCCTTGTTTCCTATCCTAGTCCTTTTGTTTTGGCTACTTGGCAAAGGAGCGTTTCCCCTCCCTGGGTGGAGTCTTATATTCTTGTCCCTGTGTGCACTCTCTGCCTGGGACAGGAAGTACTGGAGTCAGTGGTGACTGGGACACTGGGGTTGGTGGATTTGGAGCACTGTGGTGTTTTGTGTGTTGTGACGGGGAGCACTGGGGGTCCCCATTGGCACTGTGTGTGGGCAGCAAGCAGCGGTGGTGTTGGCACAATCCCTGATCAGTGACATTTGGTTGCATTTCCAGAGGTGTTTGTCCGTCATTTTTATGCCGTTCATTTTCTTATTTATTCTGTTGTGTTTTCCCCTCACCATCCTGGGCTGAGCATGTATAGGACATGGAAGCTGTTCCACTAGCACAGTGGTGGCATCTTTCCTACCCCCTACCAGCACCCTGATGTATGGTAATTGCAATATGGGATTGCTTTGCCCAACTACAGTAACATCAATTCAGGCGTACAGCATTTTCCACAGTGAATACCAATGCAAATAACTGGTTCAGCTTCTTTGCAGTCTCTGGATCCTCCTTTAGCAATCCTTTCATTCCTTTGTCAACAGGCAGTCCAACCGCCTCCCTGGCTGTTTTTCTGCTTCTGAAATACAAAAATGTGCCTTTTTATTCTCCTCATTTGGGCAAGAAAAGAATCCTTCTTGCCATTTATGGTGTCTTTGGCTCCAATTGTTAACCCTGCTGGCACTTGGATTTGAAAGTACTTTTCCTATTTTGCTGTATATATTCTAGTTGAGCTTCTATCTTTTTGGTTTTAAATTACCTCCAAGCATCCTGGAGAGATTTAACCGTCTTAACTCCCCTTTCCAGGAATTACAGTATTTCTATTTCTAGCAAAACAATCTTAGAACATGGTTACAGTTTCTCCTCATATCCTTATACTAAATGTATTTGTTTGCTTATTTGGTACATATATCTACATGA